GGTCGCTGAGGCTGATGTTGACGAGGAAGAGGTTGGTGGGCGTGCGGAGCCGCTTGAACTTGTAGTAGAGCACCAGCACCAGCAAGTTGTTGCACACGCCCAGCGTGCCGATGGTGGCGATGAGCAGCGCCAGCAGCTCGTAGGTGCCGGCGCTGAAGAGCGGCCGCTCGCCGGGCACTTCGTGCCCCGCCGCCGCGGGCTGCGAGCGGCTCGTCTCCCCCGTGCCGTTCCCCGAATGCATGGCTCAGCGCGTGCTGCAGCCCGGCCGGAGCGCGGCCGCTATCCTGGGCGGCAGGAGGAGGAGGAGCGCTCTCCGCCTTCCCGCCCACGGAGGGCGCGCCCTTCGCCCCCGGCGTGGCACCTCCCCGGCTTCGCTGTGCCGCTTGCTGCCGTGAGCGGCCCGGATGCGGTTAGCTTGAGGATGGCCTCTGCTTTTGGATGCTCCGCGTGTTTGGGCTCGGTGAGGCTGCCGTCCGTGCGGGGCAGATCTTTCAGCTGTGCTTCAGGAAGATTTAGAAACTGCTAAGCCAACATCCAGATGTTTCACCAGTGAAAGCCCTTACTGTGAAAAACAGTTTACGTTAGGATTGGCTTCTTTTGGTGTGTGCATCTCCTAGTGAGGCGGAGTTAGCAGTCTCTGCTTACACCTGTCTCGGACCGGCGCACAGGAGCAAGGTGCTTCCTGTGGCACTCTGAGGTGGCTGCAAACAGCCGCGGCTGGCAGCGTCCTGGCAGGGGTAACCTTGTGGGGCAGGTGGAAACCTTTTTGTCAGATATGAGACAAGCTGTGGCAGGTACCAAAGCTCACACAGCAACCTCACCAATTATTACAGCACTGTTTCTTGCGTGCATCATGAGAAAATGGCATGGAAACCTTCCTATGCCCACATCTAGCTGGCAGTAGTCTGGGTGCAATACCAACCTAGCTGTTCTAAATTAGTTGTAGTGTCTCCAAACTTTGCATCTCCCTGAATACGTATCACTGCAATTTTTGCCCAGAGTGGCTTCAGACCTCCCACATCATGCCATAACAGACATCAGTCTTACCCATGGGAAGACTCATTTGTTTTCTTTACTAGCTGACCTATGCGTACTGTGATTGGAAAGTTCAGTGTGTGTGCTGGTGTGGACCAGCATTCATAGGTGTGAGGGAGGTGATTGTCTCACCTTGCTCTGCTCTTGTAAATTCAATCTAGAATACTGCAACCAGACCTGGGGCACCCAGCACAAGAAAAATGAATGAGGAGCTGTTGGAGTGGCACAGAATGCCCAGGTGAGAGGCAGCCCTGCCCACAGCAGAGGGTTGGAACTAGATGATCCTTGAAGTCCCCTCCAAAACCAAACCATTCTGTGGTAAAACTCTTTTTAGATCCATTCTCAGTTTAGTTCCACATCAACTTTGGAAGCATTTTCAACAGGATTTTTATGGAACTGTGGCATAACAAATTTTACCTGCTTATTTTGTGTTTGTTTCCTTGTTTTTCCCCCTCTCAATACAAATACAGGTATTTAGAAAGTTGGTCTGACTGCATGATTCCTTGTGGACCAAGACTGAAAACATGGGTAGTTGAAATGATTTTGATATCTTCAAAGATGCATTCCAGTATACAAATTATGGGCTTCAAGTGGCAATTTTGTATGACAAAGTAGTGTTGGAATGCAGCGTGTCAGGAAAATGAAACACTGATTAGAGTATCTGTCCTTATAAGCTTTATTTACAATGTTTTCAAATCCACCAAATATGATATATTTAATAACCTATATATTTAATTCCTTTAAAAAGCTAGTTCACCAGACTTCACTGGTCTCCCATCTTTGCTGCTTACAAAAGCAGCAGAAGTCTTACCCAAATCATTTCTGTTTTCCACTCTGAAATTTAGATTAGTGGAAGAACACATTACTTCCATTCAAAACTTCCAGTAACAGACCAGTAGCACTTCAGCATGAGCTTTAGGGAAGGCTTAACTCTTAGCTTTCTTTGTTAGTAGAAGTAATTTACCTGTGCGTGATAGACTATGCGCTGTATGGTAGAAGTCAAATAATTATAAGACATGACTGAACTAATTAACGATGCACCTTATTAAGGTGAAAGGATCTCTATCTTCTGCTCTTAAAAGAAAGCCTTAAACTGAGAGCATACCTTATTTTGCCCTGCAAAATGAGAAAAGCTGGTAATTTAGTGAGGCAAGTAGTAAATTCTAGACAGTGTACTGCCCACTGGCAGATTCCATAATATATACAGAGCTAATAAGTAATATTTCAACTGCAGCACCTGACAAAAATACTCACCTTAGGTGTCTTATGGATTTCTCAAAAATAGGAGAAAGAATGCATAAGTTAAATTTGACAAAGATCATATTTCAAAACTCCTGGTTAGAGATTCTTTTTCATAGCAAAATTAAATAGATCCATAAACATGCAGTCTCTTCAGTGCTTTATTTTATGGTGGTTACATTATTAATATAGTCAAATTGCAAACATTATTCAAGTGACCTCGAATTCTTCTTGAGCAGAGTTCTATCTGTTTTCCAGGCAAATACAGAATCATAATTAATATGAAGGCAAACAAAAAAGTGCTATGTTATTGTATCAGATCAAAGAGAAAGCTGGAAACAGAATCCTGACTTCCCATTCTAGTCCAGCACTTGTCCTGCCTAACAGTGTAGATTGACACAGCCAACACAGCTGTGTCTTTGATCATCTAATTGATTCCAATATATACTATTGGAATTAATATTTAAAATAATTAGAAATTATGAATATAATATTATAAATAAAATGCTATTAAAATATTAATGCCAATCATTTTCTAAATGTTCCTGTTGTTAAAAAGCTGAAACACGAAACTGAGACATCCAACTTGCATTTTTTCAGGGTTGCACTGTTTCACAACCCATTATTTTAATTTCTGGAAGCGTTTGTGCAGCTTACTGGAGGTGTATCTCAAAGGACTAAATATATACGTAGCTGAGCTTATGGGATTAAAGCAGTGCAGCAACAAGCTGAAGTATAAGGTCTCCAGTGCTGTACCTTAGAAACAGTACTTGAAAATCCCTCAGTACTCAGTAAGTTTGTTGATATACCAGACAGTGCTGGGTTTTTGTTGCTTGTTTTGAACTCTCTAAAACTTCTTGTTTCATAGGTATGGTAGAAAACCAGACTACAATCTCTGAAAGAAAAACAATAATTTAAAAAAGAATAAGAAAAATTAAAACAGAAGTGGTTACTCATCTTCATCTTTTAATTAAAATTTCTACAGCCTTCTTTTAGCATTTTTTTTCATACATGTTCTTTTTGCTGTTCTTTAGCCTTAAGTGCAGATGAAAGCCTAGTGATTATTCTCTATCTATATATAGCTGCAGTACCTGTCTATAGCAAGAAGAAGAGTTGATAGAAAGAAGAATCCTTTTATCTTGGCATTAAAATACACTTGACATTAAAAAGGGGCTTTTAATATAGATGGACATCTGCTGATAATGCAGTATATAAGAAAAAACCAAACATGCGCAAACCTAATGGTAAGAGTTCAAAATTAGGCCTGATCTTCCAGAGTTTGTAATCCTAGCTATACAGTGTAGTCTGTACTGGGATGTGAACTTCAAAGCAGAGCACGGTAGACAGAAATGTTGCAAGAATCTGGATTGAGAGAAGAGGCTGCCTCAAATAAGTTCACTGAGGCAAGGACAGGTACTTGCAGCAGGGAGGTGACCCAAATAGGTAATCCTAGGAGGTGGAGTGATACCATTGGAACATCTGTGCCATATCTAGGATATCTTGACTGCAGCATGTGAGTAACATCTGAGCTCTAGTACATCTGGTATATGTACAAATAACTATGCTAGATGCAGGTGTAATTCATCTCACCTGAATAAGGCATTTAAAAGTTAAACACTTAAGACCAATAAGATTAATTAGAGTGCTTGATATGTTTCACTATTGATCGGGTTATAAGCTGGCTTGATAATTAACTTTTAGATGCCAAAGTGAGATCATAGGAATTTCATCTTGTCTATAGAAATCTGGTGGATTTGTAATACACACTTAGTCAGCAGATGGCCATTGATTTCTCTGTGGCACCTGTTAATTACTAAATAGAGTAAAATAAGTGATGATACATATTTGCACCAGCTGACAATATACCTGCCCAGGATATACAAATACAACTCCAGAAAAGCTTGAACCTTAACCGTGTAAATCTAAATCAGACAAGTATTACCAGCTTTTGTAACAATAAACCTGTGAAATTCACTAGTGATAGGACTTCATTTTATAGGAATTGTTCTCCACAGGAGTTTAGCAGCTCCATGTGCAGGATTTCAAGCAAACCTTGCGCAATGAGACTGTCATCAACCTTGGCTGAAGAAATACAAAAGTTGATGTGGAGATAAATAGACAAAGAACAGTACAAATAAGTTGACTTATATGGTCCAGTGAAAAGAGGGTCTAATAAATAGATTTAAGTTCATTATTTGACCAGAATGACAATTTGCTTATTATTGTGTTTTACAGCAACATGTTTTCAGCATTTTTTTAAAGCTACTAAAAAAAAATAGCTGGAAAATGCAGTAAAGAATCACAAGCATTATCTTGAGGCTGGAAGGAAAGTGTAGTATGAGGTAAAGAGCTCAGTGTGCTTTAAATAAAAAGAAAATGGAGAAGTAATTCAGGTACATAAGCTCCTAAATGGGAGAACCACCAATTATTTCCACCAACTATGAGGACATTCCAACAACTGCCAAATGGTGGCTGAAGCAACACATTCAAATGAGAGAATTCTGTGATGCATGGGAGGGTTGTGACATCAGCTGTTCACTGACAGATTTGCCAGCTTGAGATGCTGAACTAGGGAACACCTCATTATGTACTGTTTGGTATACCTGTCATACAACTGCATCTCATATGAACTCATGTGGGAATTTAAAATCTAAGGAGCAAAACAAGGCTTGAACCACACTGTAAGGAGAGCTCTCTCCTACCTTTTTGTCCACCCTTATTAAAGGATGTCTGAATCAAAGGATTGTGATAATGAGAGTTGCTCTGCTCTCGAGGTGCCAGATTTCAAGAATGCTTTAAAGCAGTTCCAGAAACTAGTTGAAAGAATAGTAATCCAGAAGAAAAAGGAAAGATTAGGCTGGTACACTAAAGATGATGGTAAGAGATACTCTTTCTTACTGAATGATGTGTAAAAATTTTCACATCAATAATAGGTGTCATAGAAACAAGACTGTAGGAAAAATATCAAACATTCAAACTGAGACTTCTTGACTTGCCCTGTGAAAGTGATTTTAATCTCCTTTTATGGCCTATGGTAAATTATAATTATAAAGTCATAGTAATTGCTCATGAAATATAATTCACAGAGTTGCCACATACACAGATTAGCACTTCTGTGGCATTTCCACTGATCTGTAAGAGAACGTAATGATTATGTAAATCCATTGTCTTGATTGTAAACAGTTAGGACAAAATTTTGCTTTTTTTTTTCCCCTCAATGCAAGTGACTATTTATTGCCTGAAAGAATAGATTTTATCCTAGGTCATTTTTCAGGTTCATTTTAATAGAACAGGATTGTATATAAATTATGGAGTTAAGAGAAGACAAGAATAACTTTTCTTTTACCTATCTGTTTCCTATTGTGTCCTGCAAAGTGGGTGCTTTTGGAGAGTAGGCTGAACATCTTTTTGGCAAAATGCTTTAGTGGATACAGTGCAAGGAGCTGAAACTTGCACGTTGCTGATATTGAAAGAGAAAACAGGAGCTAAGGAAGATAAGGACGGAAGATGTAGCTTCACAGTTTTTAACTCTGGATGTTGTTCCTCCAATACAGATGAGATAGATTATGATGAGTTCTATAGAACCACACAGACACTTTTTGGTCCAGAAGTCAAGGAGCATAACGTTAAGGCCTTTTTCATGAAAGTAAGCAACAATCCTGATGCAAGGACAGAATGGTGTGAGGTAAGGATTTTTAATATTTATTAAATATAAGCAACTCTATTGCCATACCACCAACATTCACCTCTGACACTGTGGACCAACATAATAAAGCAGGAGGCATTATTTTTGGAGCAACCCTGATATATCACCTGAGTTTTCAAATCAAAATTATGCTACACTGTTCATATGAGTTTGAGGAAGCTGTCCTCTGTTCTAAGATGCTTGAACTTACTATGTTGATGTACATGAACGCATGTTGAAGAATAACCTGACTGAATAAAATCCTTTTTTCTGCTTGTTTTGTGAAAGAGCACTGAGCTGTTTACCAGAGCTGCTTATCCTGAAGCAATGTTTGATATACTAGATTCCTCACATGGCAGCTGGATCTGGAGCATGGACCTGAGGCTAGAAATCAGTACATCCAGTCATGAACTACTTTACTGATACACATTTGCCTCAGGCATTGCAATAAAATGCAAGAAATATTATCACTACAGTATGCAGTTTGTGCCCTGGGGATAGGTCTAACTTTAGCTAGACCATCATAAATTCTTTTTCTCCCTCATCTCCTTCCTCTTTACTCAGAGATAAATCTACACCTTACTTTAGATGGAAGACATTAAGAGCTATACTGCCATTTTAGTAGAGGGTTTTGTAACAAGAGCATTCTTCCTTATTGAATTCTGTTGTAATTTATTTTTCTGTCTCTAATGGTAAATAGCAAATTTTGGAGAGGAAAAAAAAGAATGTAATAATGAGGTAAGTATGAAACAGAATCTGACTTACCCCCTCCCAGCTTCTGGTGGCATATAGCTTAAGGATTTTCTATGCCAGATTTGCAGCTGCAGAATGTGCTTAGTATCCTCCAATAGGATTTTTATCTAACTGCTCATAAATTACTTCTGCATTTGTAAAAAAGAGATACTTCTATAGTATCCACAGCTTTATTCATTTTGTGAAAAAGTACTTTGCTTTGTTTCTTTTAGATATGGTGGTCTATTCTCCCTGTATTTTGCTTGCCTGTTTATTTGTTTTAATGTATTTTCTTTTGGGGAGAGAAGTATTTCACACAAAGTTGCTAGAACTACAACTTCCCTTACAGATAAACTTCCATTACTACATATACAAAGGTCAGAGTACTTACATTGCTCTTAAGTCTGACTCTAATTTTTTTTTAACTTGAATTGGCCTTACCCAGAAAAGTTTGAAATACAATACTACTTCATTGAAAAGCTGCAGTGAATTTTTCAAATTTTAATCCTGTTTAGCAGGAAATTTGTCAGTGATATGTATCATCAGCTATATATGCATTATGGAACACATCAATCTAAGCTCTGTTCAAAGGTAAGAATTTCTTACAAGTAGCGTGGATATAGAGATGAAAACTGTGTATAATCAATGAATATACAGATGTTATAATCATAAAATAAACAAGAGAGTTTGGCTAAGCAGGTTATTAAATCACAAATAAAAAAAATAGAGTACTTACCCTTATGCTAGGCTCACTGTAAAACTCCAAAGGAAGGATCTCCAGAAGAGATTCTTCCCTGCTGGCAGTCAGCTCTTAAATAGGTCTAGGAGAGGTGCAGCCAGGTTCCACCCCTTCCAGCAGCACAGGTGAATTGCCTTCAGCTGTGCTCCTCTGGCTGACTCATGGCTCGCCTCAGGTGATCCATCAGAGGTTCAGGCCGTGATTCAGCAGTTCCCATACAACTGAATTTAGAATTCTGCAAATTTAGCTTACACTGAAACAACATTGTATCGGTCATCTGATAGTCATCCGAGCCCGATTTACATCAGCTGTAACTTGAATGTTAGCTTCTGATCTACTGTAATTGTGGTAAAATCCTTTCTGACATGAATGGAACAAAACAGATATTTACAGACTTACTGGAATGGTTTCTACTAAAATAAAAACAGGCCTATGATGTTTGATGGTGGGTCTTTTTTCTATCCTTTTTTTCTCTGTCAAACTACAGTTTCAGTTTGGTTCACTGAATCTTGGAGAGTTATAAATATCAGAAATTAAGTCAGTGTTCTTTTTCTTCTAACTATGCTAAGGGTTTATGACTGTAGCTACGCTGCAGCTCTATGGTCTCCTTATCTTTTTTCAATTCTCAATATTTAAAGATGTGTGTATTTATGCACTGGTAGGTGTATGGGAACTGCTGAGTCATGGCCTGAACCTCTGATTGATCACCTGAGGCGAGCCATGAGTCAGCCAGAGGAGCACAGCTGAAGGCAATTCACCTGTGCTGCTGGAAGGGGTGGAGCCTGGCTGCGCCTCTCCTAGACCTATTTAAGAGCTGACTGCCAGCAGGGAAGGATCTCTTCTGGAGATCACCTCTCTTGGTGTTTTGTGAGTGAGCCTAGGATAGGGGAAAGCCTTCTATTTATTCACTTTTGTTATTGTAGTCTGCTTTGCCTAACTCTTGTTTATTTTGTGATTATAGCATCCTAATATTCTTTGATTATGCAATAGGAAAGGTGGATTTATTTATTTTTTTCCACTTATATTTTTTTGCTCCTCCTCTTTTCTCTTTTTTGAAGCTACCTGTATTTAACTTTATGAGCTTAAGTCGCATTTGCTTTTCTTCTCTTCCTTAGGCTTTACATTGCTTTTAAATGAAACTTTTATTCAAAGAAGCAAATTTTCTGTTTTGCCTAGTGAAAACTATTGGAAAGGTAACTGTTCTCTTAAGAGACTGAAAGCTATTCTGGGTATTCTGCTTGAAACCAGTTGTTTGAGAGAGATGGTGACAGAAATAAGTCTTCTCTAATTGATATATTCATTCTTATAATGTTCATTAAACTGCTAATTATATTAGACAAATCACATTTCTAACTTGCAGCTTGAACACATATTGATTACCCTTTATGAAAAATGGAAGTAGCCTTGATCTTGCTTTAGCTTTCTTTTCATCACTTATTTTTTCAATTGTATCATCAATCTTGATTACTTTCTGTAACTTACCCAATATTCATCTCATCTTTTGTGATCTATGCTCTAGTTTTCAAATTTTATTCTACAAGGACTTCATTTCATCCTGTTCTCCTGAATTCTCTTGCTGTTTAACACTGTTGAGCATTTCATTTATCTTGAAAGCCAAGGAGGAAGCATACATGTCACTTCATTCTTTTGACATTCCTCTTTCATCATCTCTGTCTCTCTCCCTTCCCAGAGCTCTGAACTCTGACCATTTTCTTTTCTTCTTGCCCTCACAGTTATAAACTTTTCAAATTTACCTCTCCATATCTGGCACCTCTTTAGCTTGACAAAATCTGCAGAATTTATTTCCATTATTTGAAAAAGCATGGCCTTATGCAAGTGTTCCATTCCTTTCTCTTCCAGATGTTTCCCTTTTCCAAGTACCTTTATTTTCAAGAGTTTCCAGCATTCTCCACAGCAATATACCTATACTCAGGTGGTACTTTTCTGTGAGGGAAAAAAAAATTAAAGTCTTCTATTTAGTCATGTTAGAGTCTACTCTTAGGCATTCAGTGGCTCTAAAATATATCCTAGTCTAACAGCTATCATTTATCAAACCTCTGCATTTCTTCCCTGAAGGCGGTTGACCCTTTGAAAGCTCTATCTTAGTGGCAAACATGAAATATATGTAAATTGCATTTTGCCTCATATTGTATGTTCTTTGTCAGTCTCTGCTTATGGGCTGTGCACTAGTTGAGATCCCATCTCCATGTTGGAGTCAGCAGAAGCCATTTATGCTACTCCGAGGTATTTCTTAAATCAGAATCCTAGAATCCTTAGAGTTGGAAGAGACCCCTGAAGGCCATCTAGTCCAACCAGCTTGCAACAAACAGGGACGTGCACAGTTAGATCAGGTTGCCCAGGGCCTGATCCAGCCTCACCTTGAAAGTCTCCAGGGACAGAGAATTCACCATGTCTCTAGGCAATCTGTTCCAGTGTATAACCACCCTCACTGTAAAAGACTTTTTATTAATACTTAACCTAAATCTAACTTCTTTAAGCTTAAAGCCATTTCCCCTTGTTCCATCACCACAACCCCTGCTAAAGAGATATGCCTTTTTAGGGCAGTGTTCTGCTTGCTGAGCAGAAATCAGATGTGTCACTGTCTGGTGTCTGTAAGAGGCATGATAGGGCACACCTGGGCATCTCACTTAGAGGGCTTCCACCTCTGTTGGCCTTAGGTCAGATACTATGCTGGCCCAACCACACCATCAAGACTCAGCAGTGACCTCATATCAGGTCAGTGTACTATTTTAAAAAAAAAAAAAAAAAAAAAAAATTATCCTACCAAAAACTTAGTCCTGAGAAAGGTGAAGAGCCTGTTCTCCTTTGCCTGGAAAAATGGGAATGTGCTAAAAATGCAAAATGTCATTCTTATCTTCTAGAAAGATGAGAGGAATGATCAAGGGAACTAGAGGACTAACCTCAATCCCTGATGAAGGTGATGAAACCACTAATTCTAGAAAATATATGCAAGCACATAAAAGATAAGAAAGTGATTGGGAATAGTCAGCATGGGTTTCCAAAGGGGAAATATAGAAATTGCATATAACCAACTTAATAGGCTTCTACAATGGCATGACTATCTTGGTGGATAAGCAGAGGGCAGTGGATGATGTTTATCTTGACTATAGTAAGGATTTTAATGTTGTCTCCCATGACATACTCTTAGTCAAGCTGACCAAGGATGGGTTAGTGGGCAGGGAGACAGAAAGAATACTAGCTGAATTTCTCAGTGGTTCAAAATCAAATTAAGGCAAGATGATATTGATGTATGTGCCAGGGGTAAGTATTGGTAAATATACTATTTAATATCTTAATTGATGACGTAAATGATAGGAATTCCAGGTGTGCTCCTGTTGCAGAGATGCATTCAAACATGAATCTGTAGTTCAGATTCATGTTTGGAAACAAGATGGAAAGACAAGGTGGTGTTACAAGAAATTAAACAGAGGAAAGTAAAGGATTGTAATGGATGATGTATTGACTGACATTTTCTGATAGATTATAATTGTGTACATAGTAAGGAGGGTGCTATGAAGTGAAAGATAGAGACTAATATTTTTCTGTAAGAATATGCAGAATACTTTTTGTTGAAAGATGTACACATGAATTGCTCAGATAAGAAAATAGAAAGTTCTGGTGTATGAAAAATATTGAACTAGAAAGAAGTGTGAAGTTTTGTCTTGCATACAAGTGGGCTTTGCTTTCAGAGCACGTTAAAGGAATTGACCAGATGATGTCCATAATATGACAAAAGAGATGAAAAAGTATCTCTCTGTACAACTATAAAGGGCTGACCTCATTTCCTGAGGAGATGACTAACCTACACTTGGGTACAGGGATTGAGTTGCTGAGAGCATTTCAGCTGAAATGTTTTGCCATCCTGGGAGATATTAGCTACCAACCTGCATTTCCCCTCCAGGAATCTTCATTACCATTACTACAAATAAAACATCGTCAGGCTGAGGGAAATAGTTTAAAGAAAAAAAAAAAGTTTTAAAAAATGTTCTGTATACTTTTTTGTTTTCTCCCCCAAGCAAACAGCAATCTATGGATCTTGAGGGAAAAGCTCTTCTATGTTGACTAACCACTATGCTATTTTGAATCAGTTTACAATCGTCGTGACTTTTGTTTCATCTGCTTCCTCCAGTCTTTCATTCTAGCTGAAGTCTAGCTCAGGAAGCACAAGTAGATAAAAATGGAAAAAGGAAATGAAAAATGACTGCTTACATGCAATCATGGCAAACCAAACTGGTAGTAATAGCTTTATCAATTAGACTGTTTTTATTCCTGGTATCCTGTTTATTCTGGCTTCTTCCCAAACATTGATGAGAAGTTGTGCCTGACTAGCAGATCTCTGCAATCTAAAGTCATAGTGACAGCTAATAACTGAGAGGAATAATGGAGGGAAATTCCTTATTCAGGAATTTGAAATGATTGAAAAATGACACATAGAAATTGACTATCTGTATATAAACAGATGTTCCAGATGTAGTATAGTTTTAAACTGCTAGTTTTGTTCTATTTTGTTTTGTTCAGATTTTTGGCTATTTCATAGGAGGAAAAGGTGCTACGCCTTCCCATTTCAAAGAAGAAAACACAGTTTTCCTTACATCCGAAAAACAGCAGATTACTTATCCAGGTAATCATCTTGTGTTTAAAACAGAAACTCCCAAAATGTGTCTGTTCAGTGCTCCCTATTGCACATCTTATTGAAGTTACGGTGATAAAATCTCACGGTTGCTTTTGTTTACTAATCATGCTGCTGCTTCTTGTGTGTTCCAGAATAGGTTTCTTACTAAGGTGCCTGAGCACTCCTGAATCATTTTGAAATTATAAGGTGTCTGACTCAGACTATTTGCCTTTTGTGTCTTTTAAAAAAATACATTATATATACATATATTCTAGAAAGAACTAGCAGATGGATGATGTATTAATGCTATTTTAAAATGCAACATGATTTATAAAATCGAGTATAGAATAATATGACTATGTTTTACAGCCTTGAAGTTGGTGCCAATATGTATTTCAGGGAGATAAAATGTTCTTGGTACATGGTTTGATTTGTTTAGTATTATGGGAGGTTTTTTTTGTATGTACTGTATGTAGAGCTTTCTGTCTGTGAGATGAAGAGTCATCTTATGTCTTTCACAGTTGTTAAGGAACGAGATATGATTACAAGTATAGTGAAGGTGCCCCATCTGGATTTCACTGTAACATCCTCTCAGAAAGGAGTGCTAACTATTTTTAACAAGAAGGTAATTCTGACTCAAACTTTTCCTTGTTCTACTAGGTAGTACATACATGAACTGAGTGAACTGTGATCCAGAGTGCAAACTTACCCATAAAAAAGCCAGACATCTTTTTTAAGTTAACTTTGCCTATACTTTTAAATACAGTGGGAAATGTACATTGTTATTTTTAATTATAATCCTACTCAACAATCCATAAAAGATAAATTGATAAGTAAATAGAGTAAACAAATAGGTAAATAGAGATTGCCAATAAGAAAATGAATAGAAGTCCCTTCAATATAAAATAATCTGCCTTTTTTTTTATTCTTAAATTCTACATATACTATATTTGTCACTGTGTATTGCATACACAGTGGAAACCAGTGAATTAACTGTTTTCTGCAGCTACTGAGAATATTTAGAATGTGCAGAAAGATTTTTTGGTTGTTTGCAAAAAAGAGTTATTCTATACAGTAAGCTCTTAAAGCTTGAAAGTCTTGAATTTTCTGTCAGTCTTCATGACACTGCTTCACAGTCACTCCTCTTGTCAGCAAATTGTAGAGAAACCTGTACCATTTTAAGTAGAAGTTCAGGTTCAATATCATTTTAAAGTACATTTTGTAAATGAGTCTCTCAGATGATATTACTATTTAAACATACAATCCTAGCTGCCATGAGGTACATCACAGTTCTATGTTCATTGGCACTTTACATTTATACAATTTTAATACGACTAATTTATTAAAAGCTTTATCAAACAATGCAGTAAAGCTTTTAAATGGCAATAATATTTTCTAGGGGGTCAGCTAATTAGTGTATAACGCTTCTAACAGCGGCTCGCAAAGCAACAGTGTTCTCCTGTGGATGATTAAACAACAAAGCAATACTGCAGTTTTGGTAAATACTGAAGTAATTTGTTTGAAAGCCGAGTTCTTTGTCCTTCAGAGACTTATCCCTCTTGCATACCTACAAAAAATAATTTCACAAAGTATAATGTTAAAATTAGTTTCCTTTCTCCCTCCCCCACCTCCCCCAGCCCTCCAACTGCTTGAAGTTCTGAATTGCTGCTTTCTCATAGTCTGGACTGATGTCACTGTGACATCAGTGACTGCAGTGTAACTGATATTACACCCAGCTGCTTAACGCAGTGAATTACAGGAAGCCTCAAATCCCATTTACAAATGGGATTTACATTCTGAAAATGACTAAGTCTCTATGACATTTCAGTTGATCTGAGCAAATGACCTTTGACTTTAAAATTGCTCTGATGCATCTTGATGCAAGCAAGAGAAAAATATAGCAGTTTAGCATTGCATTCACTTGAATCTTGTTACTAAGATATGACTTCATATCATAAAGAATTAACACCTTTTACATCATTTTTCTTCAGTCAAAGGCCAAGGACTTAAAATGTCCTGTCCTTAAGCCTCAGCTAGTGAGTTTTTTTTGTCTAATCTGTCTTTTTAGCATGTTGAGAAAGGACTATGAATATACTTGCCCTGAAGGTGCTGCTTGGTAAGACTTCTGCTCAAAATATGAGCTCATGAGCAACGTACTGACAATCAGACAATGAAATTTATTCTTGTCTAATTCTTGCACTTCTAAAGTACAGACCATTAAATACATGATCTTCTTGGGTTCGTATATATCTGACATGAGTCAGTGTGTTCCATGTACATGAGTGATGAATAGCATTTGGTCTGATATAATCAGGGAATCTAACGTAAAACACACTTTAACTTTGCTACATCTGAGACATTTGACTATTATGAAACTTTTATATGGAGGAAAAGAAAGGGCCATATTCTATTCATTCACACTAAGGAAAACTGATGTCCAGTGCAAATAAGCTTTTCACAAGATCAATTTAGTATTGTTTTATCTGCTCTTTGGAAAGCACATATAACTAGTTTTTAATTGATACTGTGTGAAATCTGAGAATACCTTAAAAAGATAAAAAACCCAATTTACATATTAAGAATAAGAACAAGAAAGATTTTACACCACCACACTGCTTTTCAGTGTAGTAAACTTCAGTTTAATGTGAAACTTGTTTAACAATACTCTATTCGAAGACCATCCTTGGTAACACTGTGCATCACACCTTTGTGAGAAGAAATACCATGATCCCTGCTTCTCATTTTATGAAGTGAGGAATTGCTGGGATAGGAATGAGGCGCTACAGACTTATGGATGAGGAACATGGGCAAGAGGAGGTGAAAAAGCATCTACTAGTGTTTCATGAGGGGAAAAAACTGCTTTTGAAAACTGAACGTAGAGCTAGAAGACAAAGAAGATGACCCTGTCTCTGCTGTACAATGACACCAGACATGCCTACCTCCCTGTGACTTTCAACATATTAGTTTCCAGGACGTACTGTGATAGGAGAGTTTAAGTTCCTCACTTTACATATAGAGGAATCGTCAGTAGGTTTAAATACCTCTCTCAGATGTTAACTGCAAACTCTTTCTATTGGCTACTTAGCTTCTGTTCTGCCTGTGATACAGCAGAGCTGTTTTCAGACTTCTAGTTTAAATGCTAACAAGTTCTTATTTTTTGTTTTTCAGATGAAAGTTCTGGCAACCACCAGTGTTAAAGTAAGTTCATTTTCCTCCTTCTTTTAAAAATCATTTGAAGTAGAATTCAATAATTGTTATGGTGAAATAATCAGACACTAAGCACTGTTCAGTATGTCTTCTGACCTTGAGACTTCTGTGTAATCTGACATGGGGTACCATTGGGTGAACACACAATTTTTTCCTTTCAGTTAAGCAAGTGTTTATGTAACCTGATTTATTTCTTCTGATAAAAGAAATCTGAGATAAATTTTGCTTTTTTCTACCGAATTATCTGTTGGTAGAATTTTTACTCATTACTTTTCTAAGACATTTTCTTCTAAGCTGTAACACTTCCTTTGTTGGTGTGAAATTTGACTGAGGAAAAAAATATAACTTTGTTAGTGAAAAACAGTTCGGCATCTTGCTAGTTGGATTGGTAGGCAATATAGTATGTACTTTAAAAGCCGATTTTACCCTATGATTATCACTGCACATTTTTGGTAATTAATTTCCTTCAGTTAACCTACAGACAAGAGAAGTGCCATCAGACTTAACACAGCGCTGTGATCCCCTGACCTTAAAGTCAGTATGGGCATCTTGTGCCAGGGGACACTGCATTTGTGTTGATTCTTATTCACATGCCACGTGTGTTCTAAAATGAAATAGAAATACTCCAGGCCACAGGCCCAACTATTCAAAGTTAGCAAGTCTGGGCGTGGATTGCATTTAATTTGTTGCAAGCTAATCTGTCCTGTGGAATTGATGTGGGGAGAGAAACTGTAAAGAACATTCTTGAGACCTGCTGGCTTTAGAAACAGACTAGGGTCAATTTAGAACTTCTCTTACAATTCTGTTACAGGAGTGAATTTTAATAATTTGCTCCTGCATTGTTTCTAAATACAATTTTTCCAGTCCATATATGTAAAGGTAGAATTAGATCAGAACAATGTTCAGTGCTTTTCCCCAGGCACACCAAAGGGAAAAAGCTGGGATGCCAATCTGATGTTGCACTGGGCAGTATGTGTGTGTATAGTACTCTTTTTCATCTGGGCACTACACACTAATTTTAGAATTAATCATCAGTAGAGGTGGATGGTGTTTATGGGAAAATATTTGGCAGCAATGGCAGAATTTGCACTGTTCAAGGAGACTTTTGACTATGAAGTGAGAAAGGAGCATGGGTTTAAAATGATGGTACCTCTCCATGTTGTAGTGTAATAATTGTTGAAACTATGATTCCAAACAGATACAATATCAAAACTGGTACATTTTACAGTACCTGTGAGTGCTGATAGCTGTTCAGCTCTGCATCATCTGCTGTCTCTTTTACTATGTTCCACCTTCCAATGTTTTTCCAGCTGAGGTGCACCTACTTTTATATGCTTCCCTAGGGAAAGGAAGAGGGAAGATAGAAATAGTTCAGATTCCTCCCCTTTGGGACGGGGTATCATTGCTGCTGGGTATGACTGGATTGGTGGAGATCATTGTTGCACACAATGAAATCCTTCTAAGTCCTCTGTCTGGAGGATTAGCAGTTGCTTATTTCCTTTTTTGGTATGAGAATTGTGAAATTTTCATCACTTTTGTTAAAAATGTTTCTCTTCTTCCTACTCTGCCTTGTCTTAGGAAATGAGCAATCTTAATTTTCTTATTTAAATGTTTGCACTGAAAGGTCTTCTCCTTAGCTAATACAGCTTGATCTCATTCTTCCTCTAAATACTATGCTGAAAACAGAGTGAAACTGCCTAGTTTTGGCTGAAACTTCTTGATGTTTTTAAAAGATTTAGATCTTTGTAGAACATAATGTTTTAAGCTACTTTATTTTTAAAACTGAGATGCTATATCCTTATCCCAAACTGCTGTAAAATAAAATGGGTTGAGATAATAAGTTCTACTTTCCTTGGAGGATTAGAGGATAAATTCCACTTATTTCTTATGCAGTAGAAATAGTATGTGGAGCAGAAATGCTAAGTCATGGCTTGAACCGGTGATTGAGCATCTGGTGGGAAGGCAGGGCCAACCCAGGGGAGCTCGAGTGCACGCAATGCATCTGTGTAACCAGAAGGAGTGGAGCCAGGACCCACTACTTCCCAGACCTCATTTAAGGGTTGGCAGTGGAGGCAAGGGTACTTTGCTGGACATTTGTGCCTATCTGGGGCCTTCTGAAGGTAAGCAGATTCTTTCCTAAAGCAGAAAGGCTGTGAGATACAGTAGTTCTAGGAATAAAATCAAGTAAGTTGCAGCTATTGGAGTTTTCCTAGCATTGTGACAGTATAAATAGAAATTGAGCTGTGACTACATCGTATCAATCATTTATGATTTTGTTCCATGTATTTCATGGTGAACAGGTCACTTCAATCAAACCTGATTTCATTTCTTGATGAGATTATGTAGCTGAGCAGAAATAACAGAGGCATAAATATGAAACTTAAAACTGTACCATATTTGACTTAATACCACATGACTTTCTGTTTTTAAAATATGGCCACTGCAAAAAAAAAAAAAAAAATCAAAGTACGTATTAAATGAGTTAAGGACTGTTGACAGGGACCAAAGATAGTAGGCAGCATGGGAACACTGTTGAATGGAAATATTGATAGTGAATAAGTTGCTTCTCTTGCAACATGGAAGTGAAATGCCTTAAAAGACAGATAATACAAAATAACATCGACAAACCTAGTGGATGGAAGCTAGAGTCAGATGAGATAAAAAAAAATTGTCTTGAAGATGAGGAAGTGAAGACAGAGCCCTGGAGTGACAGGGTGAAAGAATAGTGAAAGCTGGTGTAGCTGACTGGGTTGTCTGTCAAGTACTGCACTGTAAAGAGGAGAAGCACATAAAGCTTTCATTCTAAAGCTGAATGTAGGCCACATGTTTTGCTTGTAGTCTGTCAGACTCTTCTATCTGCAGCTTCTCAGTGAGTCAAATCAGTCTGTCAATGTGCACATTGTTTTTTTTTCAGGACTTCACTCTGTTTCTGATAACTCTCAAATCCCACAAAGGAGTCTGTTTTGGCAAGAAATTTCATTGTGTATCTTAAGGATATAGCACCGTGCTCCACTATTTACACAGCCTGTTTATTCCATGGCTAACATTCTAGAACATAGAACTAGCTTGCAGGAGAGCGTTCAACTTTGGCAACAATCTCTGCACCTCTGTTAAGCTCTATATTTCTCAGTGAATGTTCTCTGGAGCGTGCTATGAAGGAAGCCAAATTCAGTTGTTTCTGCAGACCTTTGTATCTATGGGTCTTCAATGTAATTTAAGTAATTTCTCTTGATTATTTAAGACAAATTTAGTGCAACTTTTCTTAAGATGTGAATCACTTATAATGTGAAAAAAAAATTCTGTTGAAGGAAGAAGAATACTGGTGTAACTGGGTGAATATTGTCTTCCATCACTCTATTGATGTTTCATACTGCCTATATCATACTGCCTCCTATCATCTGTAGACTGAAACAGAAGAACATAACTAGCACTTCTTCCTCTACCTGTAGTGTTGGTGTTAAAATGCCAACTAGAGAACTGACTCCTACAAAAAAGAGATAATTCTCTAAATAGGCATCTAAGAAAAATAATCTTTGAAATAAAACACAAAATGTCTTTACTTTTCTTGACTTAAATTTTGGGTTTACAGGAATTTCCAGTAATTTCTAGTATAGTTTAGTCTATCCTCCTTTTCTGGTCCAATTGTTTTTTTCCATTTACAGAATAGCACTCGAGGTCTGGTTCTCCTTCAAATGTGCTACTTGTCCTCTCAAATCAATGCTCTTTTAAACCAGGCCTTTATTTTTGAACCATTGATGTAGAAAGGCTGTGTCATTCCATAAGCAAAAAAAAAAAAAAAAAAAAAAAAAAAAAAAGGAAGTGATAGGTGATATCAGTATCCTACTTTGGACTATACTAGTTTGTCAGTTATCTATAAGCTGTACTGAGTTTTTAGCTGCATGGAGCAAGATCCTCTTACAAATATCTGGATGCCTCAGTGTCTCCATGAATTAGTTAAGAGGCATAGAGAAACAGAGAACAATTTTTGTATTTGTAGCATTGTGTGAAAGCATTTGCCAGTGATGCCTACGTGCCTTTATAAAATGTTTAAAACTAGGAGATTTTGGAAAATCAGGAATTTCTACTTTAAACTTCTTAGCTAAGTCTGAGCAAGACAGTTACATCTTTTGTTCTTTGTAGTATACTTATGCCTTAAGAATTACAGAAAGCCTTTATTTAGGAATTTCAGCAGATAGTGAGCCGGAACATAGCAAAAATAAATGTACTCCTTGTGCTGTCCACTTCTGTTATCATCAGAGAAGAATAAGTAGTATAGATATAGAAATTAAGAATAGTTAGATTTGTGCTTTTATCAGGTAATCTCATATTCTAACAGTGTTCTCCCTGCCATGTATATCATTATAATTGCACAGGATTACACCTCTGTTTTCATTAATGTGAATTGTTTGCTTATGAAAAGATGTGCTTGTTGTTACCTAAAAGATGGTGTGCATTTCTTACTGTAATTCTCCAAAGTCTTATTTTTGTTTTTGCTACTTGATAATTTCTTTGATTACTCAGCAGTGTTTCACACAGTAACTGGATTGTTTCTGCTAAGTAGGTGAGAAATACTTGGTGTTCACCTGGGATAAATCACTCCAGAAGTTGTACACTGACTGACTTTTGAAGATTCAGTTGCCAGGACATTATTTTCAGGGAGCAGGACTTTTTGGATATTTTAGCTAATAGTATCAGATGTCTTCTCACATTGCTGTCCTGTAATGCAATGAGTTTTGTTTACTTGTTTCCAAGTAATATCTGAGATTCCTGTTTGTATTTCTAGGCAAGTGTATGAAAAGTATTCTGGTTTCTGGTTATTAGGGTTTTAAGTCCTTTCAGGGCCCATTATATTTCCTAAAATTTAACTACAAACACACACGCAGAAAAAAAAAAACACTCTTAGACTTGCTCTGTAAGCAGTCAAGAAGTGCAAAGATTCTCCTTATTGCTTGAGTTTGATTATCTTTTTGCCTCTGTGCCATCTCACTGTGTATGATAGCCTTTGAAGCCTGTGCAGGATGCAGCTTGGTTATTCTGGCTGCATAAGTACAAACCAGGTCTACAAGGTGATAACTTATGAAAAAAAATTTTTAATTGCCAGTTAGTTGTTGTTATCTGACACGATTGTGGAAGACCCAAAAAGTTGGAGATAGCAAAGTCTTCTGTAAGAATTACCAAGCATTCTCCGTAGCCCCTGAAGGGGTACAATTTTCCTCTTGTCTCTTGGAGAAAAGCAGTTCAAGAAATCCTTGCAAATGGATTACCGCTTGCACATGGCCATTAGAAGGGGAAAGAAACAATAGAGTATTGACATCATTGTCAGTATTATGGAACCTTTACACCAACAGCAAAATCAATACTGTGTAGAACAATTGAAACAAAAGTGGAAGCATCAGCTGCTGCCTCATCCCATCACCAGTGAGAAGAGACCAACCCCGCTCTCACTGTAAGCACCTTTCAGATATTGAAAGAGAGCAATAACGTCTCTCCTCAGCATCTCCTCTTCCCCAGCCTAAACAGCCTCAGTTCTTTCAGTGTCTCCTTGTAAGGCATATTCTCCAAGCCCTTCACAAGCCCTGTTGCCTTTCTTTGGATCTGCTCCAACACCTCAGTGTCCTTTCTGTACTGAGGTGCCTACTCAAGGTGGGATGTTACCAATGTACAGTGACAGGATTATTTCCCTAGTCCTGCTCAACGCACCGTTCCTGATAGAAGCCAGGATGCCATTGGCCTTCTTGACCACCTGGCCACACTACTGGCTCATACTTTGCTGACCAAACTGTGGTTCACCATCATTTTTGCTTCCTAACTCACTTCATGGATGAAAGCTGTGTATGGAGCACCGCAGATCCCCATTTTAGCTATTTATCAAGTACTTCCACTAAAGCTAGTATTGTTTAGAGGGTACAGGTAGGTATAGATTCCTTGAAGATCTGGGCGCCCCCCCCCCACAAAATTCTGTGTCATTGTCTAATTGTAACTTTTAAAATAATTGTTTTGCTATTCAGGTATACCAGAAAACATCCTGTATTTCAGTACATGGAGTTAATGTAGAAAATAAATATAAGTAAGATAAAAGATAAATATAAAATCTATTAATAAACCATGGGGTAAGATTTTGATGGAAAGTTTTTAAAGCTTAAAAAAAAAAAAAAAAAAAAAAAAAAGAAAAAAACATTGATACAACCTGGAGCATATTCCTTTTCTAAACCACTCTCATTTTAGGAAGGTCCATTACATTTTCAAAAATTGATAACTGTTCCAGTATATATGTTTAATGGTCAAACAAAAGCAAATTTCAGAGTATTACAGTAAATTTGAGTCTCCACTTTGCAAGGTTAATTATTTTACATTATGATCTGTATAATTGCAGGTATATTCAAAAGATGGTTTAATACAAGCATATGTACTGCATATATTTGTAAATATAGAATCTACCTATTGGAAGTATGTTTTTATATTATTTAATACAAAATACTTATTTCAGAGACATTCATTTTTGTAGGGTTTATTTTTTCGGTAGGGTTTCACCTCCAGTTGGAAATTTGAGTACCTTTAACTTTTATTTTTAATTAAATTGTATCCAAGGAAAAAAAATCCACTTTAACACAGATACATAAACCCTTAACTTCGATTTGCTGTACTCAGAATAAGTTTTTTTCAGTGTTATCACAGTTCAACAAACAGTGTACTTGTGTTGTGTATGTCCTCTTATGTGCAATCTCTGTATCTGTGAGTTTCTGATTACAGGCTGAGCCAAGCTACTGCATTTGTGAGCTACTATTGGAGTTAGAACTCAGTCTCACTAGCTTGGACTGCATCTAGCTGACTATATGGAATTTATGCAGAGATGGTTGAATACTTCTTAAAACAATAGACAAGGTTATAAATTCTCAGAAAATCCTTGTTTAGCTGCTCTTTTTGTTTTTATCAGGATACTGCTTGGATGAATGGATGTGATTTCCTAACTCAGCTGAAATGTGTTGTGGCTGTAACTGAAAGGACAATCATCGTCTGGGACTATACCTCAGTAGGGAAAAAGGTAGTGTGTTGGATCAAGCAAATGTGAAGGGAAATTTGGAGAAAGTTAATTTTTTTTTCAATGTACATTCATATCCCTTTTGCCCAACAGGATGAATGCATTAACTTTTGTCTTTGTAGGAAGGAACTCAAGGAAACCATTCTTTCTAAAGAAAGAATACTCTTTCCACACCAAATGTAATTTTTAGACTGTCTTAAAACTTGAAAGAAGAAGGAAATTCTTGTCCTATTGTTGTTGCAAACAAACTGACAAAAGCAGTTTGTTCTTCTGCGTGTATCTAATGCAGAATGTGTATGTATCTGATGTGTGTGCACAGCTATCTTGGACTGTATTAAAAATCAAGGGACAAGTCTTCCAAAGGAATTCAGCATAGACTCCTTTGAGATAACTTTTTGATTTAAAGAAAATCTTGCTTCACATATTATATTTTTGTTTTGGACTTTTCACATGTAAAAGCATATCAATTTTGATAGTATATGTTCAAGCAAGTTTATATTTATGCAAGTTTATACTTTATTATAGAATATGACTTTTTTTTTACAAGGATTTCTCATCCATGTCTTGGCTCTTTCGCCCAGTTTCTGTGGCTTTCTCAGTAGCTTTGAGGAGATATAAGAAAAAGAAGCAAAGTAAATATTTTTAGAATAAGATAAAGCTTTATCATTTTTTTTGTTTGTTCTCTTAAAATTAATAAAATTAAAAGTCCTGTTCCCATGCTCGGATAAGTCAATGGAAGTCTTTCTTTCCATTCAGTTGGAATTCTGAGAGGGAAGGCTTGAACATTTATTCTCATAGAGGTTTCCTCCAGTCATTATATCAGTGCAAGTGTGAGCTGTAACTGTCTTGTGACTGAATGAGAAATAATTATATTTTGAAATCACAGGAATAATATACAGACACTCTGTGGTATGTCTTTTCAGTGTTTCTGTGCCATACAGAGAACTAAGAAGCAGTTGATTTCTATGGTATATGAACAGTTGACAGTTTAGGTTGGCAGGGTGCTTTAATCAAATAACAGATGGAGTCCAGAGAGTTTAACCAATAAGTAGTATGATGCAGATGACCTCAAGTACTACTCCTTGGCCTTCTCACTGTAGGAAAATACCACAGTGGCTTGCAGCTGTATTCATTGCCTCATCTCAATACCTAAAAATTCAGGCTGTTTAAGCACATTTGGTACTCCTAGGCTGTATTAATAACTTCTGAACTGTGTGTTACTGTTCATTTTATGATTAGTAATTCTCTAAATCAGCTGTCTCACATTTCCTGTTGACAAAGATGTTGTCTAGAAGAAAACCATTTACAATCTTAGCAAATACACCATCCCAATAAACCACTGAATTTCACAGGGTAATTACTTCAACATCAAACCAATGGAAAACAGTCTGCTCTGTGTTTGCACGGCAACTATGTCTGATCAAGTGGGTGAGGACAGTATCCTAATGGGAGATGACAAAGGCTATGTTTACTTACTTAAAGTGACCAGTGATCACCTTGGATTGAAGCAATGTAAAGGTAAAAAAGAATCTCAACTTCAGATCTTGGATTCCAAAGATTTTAACATGTAAGTTATTTATGATAAAATATTTTATGTTGGGCGTTATTTGTTAGTTTGGAGTGTTCTCTGGACTGAGTGAAGGGTCAGCTTCTCTGTGAATTAACCCAACCTAACAAAGAAAATAATTTTTAAAACTGCAAGTAATGTAATTTGCTTGTTGTGTGAAGGAAGTGATAGAGTTTTCAGTAGATCTTACAGTAGAAGGGCTGGAGAGCAAAATTTCAGGGAAGAATTCACAATTGCTTTTATCCAGATATAGGGAAGCCTTATTGTGTCTTATTAAATAGAAGCATCGTTATTACTAGAGAAGAGCATAATTCAACTCTAACACTAGCTCTGTTCTAATATGTTTGCTATTGAGCTGAGAGATGTGTTCTGGACCTGGCTTGGATATTCAGTGATAGCATTTATTGTGTATAATCATACTGACAAAATTTGTGTCCAGCTATGGGCATGTTGCAGTAGATGCTACTAAATCCTAATAATAGCATCTCAATTTGTATCCATAGTGTTAAACGCAAGCTTCATGCTGACTGGGTTTTGAAAGTTAAATATATTTCTGACCTAAATTGTTTTGGATCCTGCTCCTCGGACAGCATTCATTCATTTGTTTTAGATGACATAAAGCGACTAGAGGACAACTTGTAAGTATGTGATAAAGTCAGAAAAATATAACTGCATGAGATTAGTGCCTTGCAAGATGCCATCTTGCTGTATTGAAGCTGTTTTTTCTAAAGCACTGATAATGCATATAAAAATACCACTGCTTGAATACTTGAACGTTTTTGTTTCCTAGCTTATAATGTAGGCAAGAATTGATGTTTGTGTTTGTTGCATCTCTAAAAATAAACTACATTGGCAGTGTTGTCTGATGTAACTTCTCAGCAGGAAAAATATAGTTAGAAAAGATTGCACTGCTATGTGTAATCATGTATCTATCTATTTAAACTTGATATCCACAAAACCAGAAGTTTCAGCTTTAGATTTAATTTCAAAAGATTCAGTTCCACTCGCTTAAATCAAGAGAACAGTTTAATCTGTGAACTGCAAAATGTTCCATTTGAGTTTTCAGTAAGTTTTGGGAAGCTAGAATTAATTTGGGAAGAAAACAAACTGGAAAATCAGAATTGTCAAAACTGTACATGCTACCACTAATCAGTTTATTGTGTAGAGTGTTAACCACAAATGTCTTGGTAGGTCTTTCAGTTAACACTAACTTCAAATGCAATAAAATATATATCTCTATGCACTTTCATACAATGGCTAACTGAAATTACATTTAGCCAATTGAATAATTACATTATCAAAATAGCTGTGCATCAAATCACTTCTGAAATGCCCTTTCCATAAGTAATTGTGGTTCCATTATATGATTTACTAGTGCTAACAAAACTTGCCCAATTGTTTCCAGCAAGCAGCTGCTACTGTACTTGAAAAGGGATGGAATGTGTCATGTCTCCTATGTGACTATTCAGTTTCTGTGTAGATGATGGTTAATGAGTGGTTATAATCTTTTCTTGTAAAGTGTGTGTGTATATATATATATGTATATATATATATATAAAGATGAAGTGTGGCAAAGATCACAAGGTACAAGGCAAGAAAGCCATGACTTGAGCAAGACCTCACACTCCCCTTATTTATGTTGTTATTGGTAAATAATCAAGACAGTTTGTTAAAGGGTAAAAATTAAGGAAAAAGATGAGAAATTGTGAAGCTATCTGCCAATCACACATTTAAGTCAATTACTCGCTATTTTACACCATCAAAAGAAGATTCCTTTGCTAGGGTTCTGGAAAGAAAGCTGTTCTCCCTTTAGTTAATAGAAACTCAACAGTCTTTTATTTAGATCTGCCTAGAAAAAATTCTTTCATCCTCAAAGTTTCCAGAGATTTTCAACATATTTACCAACATCCACAGTTACAGTTAGCAATGCCCATAGTTGTTCTCTCATTCAGTATAAATGAATTGGCTACCTATCTGGATTTCAAAGAAAAAAATATATATCTTTAAGTGTATTCTCATTTCAGTCTGTCTAGCTTAACTATATTGGCAGTCATTGTTTCCTGGCAGAGATGAGTATTAGTCTTGCTGTTGCTAAATCCCAAGTACAAAAAATTCTCATTCATTGGTAGCAATTCATGAAATGTGGAGTGATGAGGTTGTTCAAATGATGGGCTTAGATGGAACACAGAGTCAATCTCTGTTGGCTGAATGCCTGTTTTGGTATTGTTTTGTTTTAGTGAATATGAGAGAATTTTTGTAAAATATTTTTCAGGAGCTTGTCAGTCTCTTCGTGTTTTTATGCAAGATAAAATAGATAAAATAATTGCACTGTATGGACTAATATGAAATAAACTGTGGAAAAATGTACTTGGTTTATGTAAAATAGTAACTACTCTATATCCGAAACAGGCAAAGATGGTTGGTTTAATACTTGAAGCATGCTTTGAGCATATTCTTTTGTGAAGGCCTTCTTTGGCAACAATTACCACTTCAGGATTGTGTTTGGAGTGTGTCTGGCTAAGGATTCAGATGCTCAAATCAGAGACATACTATTTTAGTGGAGAGTGCCTTCATTTGCTAGCATCTAAGTCACTTATTTAGTATCTTGTTTAAAAAATAAAAAATAAAAATTACGTGTTATGCAAACAGCTATTCTATATACTACAGAGGAGTACAGTGGAATTGCACTTGACTGTGTTTTCCTACTGCTTCCTACTTGATTAACTACTTTATTGATGATTACAGACCTGTAAAAGAATTTTCTGTTCCTAGAGGAGTCAATGCCTTCACGTACTGTGGAAAAGCAAAGGTCATTGTCACTGGGGGTAAGTATGAGGCTTATATAATATTTTTCCAAGATATTGTTTTGTTGTAACTTTTTATTTTCAGTTAAAAGATAAAATAAAAACTGAGTTAGTATTTTAAGAGTACAAACAGTGGCTTCCATCTTAATTTACAGTTAACAGAGATACTGCTAATAATTGCTGGGAGTTTGGCTCTGAAGAGATGCAGTCCCTCAAAGAAATCTAATAAGGACTCAGTCTGTGTTTGATTCAGGGATTTTGTTATTTATATGACAAAACAAGAGAAAACAGTTGTTTGATCTACTATAAAACAGTTTTCCAAGCTATGGTTATGAGTGATGACTGTCTTGGTCAGGTTTTAGAAATTTCTCCTTGCTCCCTTTGCATTACTCCTTAGCCTTTCTTTCTCGTCATAAGCAGTCACACTGGCCCACCTTAATACTTTCTGTTGCTTTTCTCTTTGATCATGTTCCACCACAGTTTTGCTGTTCTTTTTTTTTTTTTTTCCTCCCAATAGAGACTCAAAAATAGTACTCTTATAACCATTTATTTCCATTATCTAATATTTTAGGAGCTTTTTTATTGCAGTGTTCATATTTCATTCTGTAGGAATGCATCTAGAGTATGGCAGCAGTCTTAGTGTATTCTGTTTGATATAGTAGTGCTTTGGAGTAACCACAGCGATGCTGTCTGTTGGTGAAAATGGCCAAGGCTCTGCTGCCCAGCCTTTATAATAAGCAAAACATGAAAATAAATTTGAGGGGGGAAAAAGCGCAACACCTAGACAAGGAAATAATGCAATTCAAGATCAAATGAAATTTACTACAGGGAAAACTAAGATGATATCCATCTTGTCTGATATTTATTTTTAGATTTCATAAATTTTATTGATTTTTTTTTTTTTTTTTTTTTTAGACACAAAATTAAAAGGGAAAGCAATAGGGCTATTAGTGAAAATCCTGAAGTACATCCTTTGAGGAGATCTTATTTAGATTGATTATTTGTCACAAAAAAACGAAGCCTGAAGAAATTTTATGATGACGTAAAGTAAGGAAGCCCTATAGGAATGTAATTGGTATTTCCTGCAGGTAGAACTGGAGAATTTTACTGTAGTGATAAAGATGGAGTAAAATATCTGAGCATGGCAGAAGATGATATACACAAGAAATAATGCTTTCTGTTACACACTGAAAATTGTTCATAGAGGAGGAAAAAAAAATCTGGATAAACTTTCTAGAAAAATAAGAACAGCAATGGTATAAAAACAGGGCAGTCATGTTGCAATACTTAAGATACTTGTGTACCACTGAATAGTGGAAGTAGCAGAAATATCCTCTTTGTTTAAAATGGTGCTTGAAATTTTTGAAAAAGATAGATTACATATATGTCTGTGTTGACCAGAGACTAGACTTGAATTGTAGGGCATTCTATCCTATCTAAACCACTACCTGATCAGAGTATTTTTGTAAGATAGGCTGTCTTGTCACTGCATTTTAATTTATCTTGACTTTCACTGCAAAAAACACAGAAAGCATAAACAACATGACAGAAGATCAATATTGTGTTCAAGAAGTCTGCAATTATGTCTTTGAAGCGTAACAATTATTCTTACGTAAAACAATCTTCCAGTTTGTTCTTGCTCATTACACTTATATTTTTGATTTGGAATCCTGTCTATCTTGTTTGCCCACTGATCTTTACTGATGTCAGAAGGCATCCTCCTGCCTCACCCTCATTTGTAGTGCTTAGTCTTGCTGCTTCCCTTGAATACAAAAGGAAGAATTCCTAGGCTGTACAGCTAATAGTCATAGGCAAGAGTGGAAATGAACTGCTGAACCAATTAAAGGATGTGATAGTCCCTTTCAAATTTACTGTGAAGTTTAGATCAGACAGGACCCCTGCAAAGCTGCACCAGGGCACGCTAGTTTTGTCTTTGTAACTTAAAAACCAGCATTCTCTCTGAGAAACACAGGAAATACAGTTAATGACATAATTAAACTCTTTCAAATGAATATAGGCACCTGAGTTAGTAAAGTCTTGTTGACTAGTAATACACCCTGAAAATCAATGGCCAGAGCAGCTAAATAGTCTAGGAATGTTACATAAAGATTTCTTTGGAATGTACAGGCACTAGTGAAAATTGTTTGTCATATTCAGCAATTAAAAAGAAAGTCCAGCCTTTGATTATACAATAGCTTATTGTGTAATCAAGGAGGATAATTTGCTAATGACTTTACTAAGCCTCAATCTATTCTTATTTAGGGATGTATTTATAGCACAAGTGGTATGCAAAGTACTGAATCCTACAATGCATTTTTCATTAGGAAGAGACTATTAAAGTGTGTTAACACTCCTACTCTTCAATCATTTATTTAGTTGTATTTGAATACTGTAATCAGTTTCACCAGTACTGTGATACATCCAAACTTTGTCTTCCAAATGTTTCTCATTTGTGGTAATGAATGAGAAAGATACAAGCAAAACTGATGCAGAGTTCACTTTTGTTGCTTAAACCTGTATTTCTTTTATGAATGAAATGATATAATCCCATTAGTGGCCTAAAATATAGAGTCCATGGTAGTTTAGAGTAACTTTTGTGTAATATTTTGCGTTATTATGCTTAAAGTGATATGGTTTTCCTCTTACTCTATATTTATTTCAATTCTAACTATGTCTTAGTCACTACATCAGAGAACAGTTACAGTAAAAAGCAAATTATGTATGTATACAGAAGCTGGAAATTACCAGCTTTGAATAATATGATAAATCATCTTTTAACCCCGCTGATTTTTCGAATGCAGTAATAAAGCAAAATCCAATCTGTTAGTGATTTCTTAGTCTAAAAGTAGCAGTTCAAGACTGATAAAAAATGGTCTTCTGTGCTTGCCCAATAGCCTTTGTGCATTCCTGGCATGAATAAAGTTAAAAATTGGTAAAAATTTCATGTAGAAAGCATTTTATGTAGGGAAAGGTTTTCTTTCTTAATGAGGCTAATTTATTTAAGATATTGAAAAGAATAACAAGTATTAGTGATTCTATTGTTGAAAGTAATTTCAATGTTTGAACACACAAATAAAAGGAGAAGACTTAATTCTCATTATATTAAGACACAAAATTTCTCATCACTAGTTACCTACCTGCCATCAACTTGCATGTCTGCTCCCCTTGCCATTATGTATGACCACCACCCCCCTTCACTAAGTGGACATTATTATTTTTTTGATCATTTTCTAAATAAGGTTTCTGAGGGGAAAAAAGTCTACACCCCAACTCTGTTTAATTATGTGTTAAGCTTTTACAGGGCCAGCACATGTAATCACAGCCAGAGCCTCTGACGTTCCCCTAACAAAATTAAAAGCCTTCAAAATGCTAATCAGTTATGTGGTTTTAATGCAAGTATGGGATCAAGCAATGAATACATGTTAACATGTAAGCTGGAATCCAGCCTTTGAAATGAAAAGTTAGTATTCTCATGTGAGTTGGCTATGCGCTGAAAGCTGAGACTTATGAGCACTAGTACCTCCATCAAGAAGCTTACTTAACAGTATTAGTGACTATTCAGTCTTTTGAGTGTATATATATATTTTTCTGACAGGTCATGACAAACTCCTTCGTTTGTGGCATCCCTATGTTAATACTAGGCCTTCAGGAAAGCTGTCTGGACATCAGCACAGTATTGTGGAAATTGTGACGAATGAAAAAGATCAGCATGTCATCAGCCTTTCATTTGCAAAGGTAAAATATTTTTCCTAATTTCAAATCAATATTTCCAATCAAAATAGCAATGTGTTTCTGAGTAATTAATACTGATAGCATCTAGTCCTAATCTTACTGATAATCTGTTTATTTTTAATTAAAAAGTAGGCTTTTAGCTTAACATTTCCGTATTTTTTTTTTTAGTAGCAAGACTAGAATTGACATATTTGACTTTTTTTTGTGTGTGCAAAAAAAACACATAATAAATATTAAAATTCTGATATTCTGTGTTACCTGTCAGCTAAATTATGGCAGAATTATTACAAAACCAGTGTCTGAATGCTTAATTCAGTACTAATCATCTGCAACAACTTCCTGCTGCTTCACTTCCCTTTCCTCTCTTTGTCAACCTACCAAATATATATGTGAGTTTTTTCTTATACTCGCCACTCTATGCACCATGATCAACTCTCAGCCTCTTTTTGAACAATGTCAGCTATGAAACTTAGTAATTAAAAGTATTGTTTGTGAATAGAAATTGTGCAGATTTTTACAAGTACAGCATGCTGATTCTTGTTCATTGCTGGCAAAATGTATAGCCAGTGGTGATGACCATGCTGAAAAAGCATGAAACATTTCACCAGAATACAGACTTTTAAATACTACACAAGCTCTTTGTTAAAGTAGCTACATCCTAAGAGTCTCCTATTAGCCTGCCATAAGGATGTCTAGCAGTAAAGAATTTCATTATCTGACACAGCAGTGCTTCTACCTGCTGTATGTTCACTGGCTACTGCAACTCAATCTCTCATGTTTTTAGGAACAGACAAAAACTGTGAACAAATAGTCTCACTGATAGAGTGAGATATCTCAACGTATATAATTCAACACTGTCCCTTCCTCTCTGTATTTATTTTGCTCATTCTGCTGCAACTGGAAGCAGTTATTTTTATTTTTTAATGCTGCAGAACGCTTTCAATACATTCAGAAACCACTGGGGGGAAAAGAACAGTCATAGGTAGGGGCTATTAAACCTGGGTGCAGGAAGAGGGTTGTTCTTGTGGTTTTTCCCTTAGAGTGATTAGTGGAAATGAGAAAATTAAGGATAGTGGTATAGCAGTGGTACTGAAATGCTGTGTAGCCGTGAAAACCATTGTGTCTCACTTAGTGTGGAGTGGGAATTTGGAACTAGAACAGTAGAGGTCGAAATATTTTGTCTTGCCTGCTGAATTATTGATGAAAGCCACCCTAATTTAACTAAAACTACTCCTGTGGTTGAATTAGACTGCTTAAGTGAGTCAGGTGAGCAAGATTTGGCACTACATGCTTGAACGCGTAAAAACAATCTCAGTGCATGTGTTGATCAATGGGGCGAGGATAAGGAGTACCTTCCTACTATAACACTCTGTGCTATCCCTTATAAACAACACAAAACTTTTATTTTCAAATCAATGGAATTTTCTTTGCCCTTTTTCTCTTTAAAAGTAATTTCATTTTTAATAGCTAATACTTAAAGTAATGTACGTACTTACGCGTGGTGGGAAAGTACTGCAATTGACTCTGTTATAAACATACCTTCCTCTTGTTGTTATTCTGACAGAATCCAGGACGGATGTCTTAGTTTCAGATGGGATGGAGTTGTTTTCTTCACAGTGTCTGATATGATGCTACGTTTTGGTTCTAGGAGAAAAAACAATGTTGATAACATACTGATGTTTATAGTTGCTGCTCAGCAGTTCTGGACAGAACCAAGGCCATTCTCAGCAAAGGGCCCATGGAGCTGGGATGGAACAGAATTAGGACAGCTGACTTAAACTGGCTAAAGGGATATTCCATAAATATGACATCATGCAGAAGGAGTTCTGTAGGGAGTGGGAGTTCTCTCCCCTGCTACTCGGGGCTGGCTGGGCATTGGTTGGGGATGGTGAGCAATTAATTGTGCATCATTTGTTATATACATACATGTGTGTGTGTCCTAATTCTTCTCCTTTTCCTTTTCTCTATATTAGTTAGTGGTTTTGTCTCAACCCATACAAGCTCTACTTTGTGGGACTTTTTTTTCAATTCTTTCCCATATCTGACAGGGAAGGGGATGGAATGAGTGAACGGAGGTGTACAAAGTTGTTCAACACTACTTAGCTGCCACAATGAACATCGGTGTGTTATGAAAATTGTTTTTTCTCCTAGAACAAAAACATAGCATCATACTAGATACTCTGAAGAAAACAGTTCCATCCCAGCTGAAACTAAGACAGAAGATAAAAAGAGCAAGACATGTTATTGGTTTGTATCTCTTGTGATTTTGCAAATTTACAGGAATCTTAATACTAGCAGCCTCTAGCTTTTCCTCTCCAGGTCTGCTGAATGGCAAACTTGCTGTGTAATATCTCACAGGAGAGTCATAAATGTTTTCTGCCTGTCTAGAACCAAGCATGTAATTTTATCAAAGCCTGTGTAGATTACCATCTATGTTTCTCTAGCCTATTTTGAAATCAAATAACATTGCTTTAAGGATGTATTTATAATATGGTCATCCATCTTCCTTAAAAATTACAACAGCTGAGCTGGAATTACACTGTTTATGTCAAACCATTGCTAATCGGGACTGTTACTAAAATGTACATCAACAATATTAAATTTAATCCAGAAAATTAGAAAAAGGCATTTGAGAAATCTCCTCCAGATACCCTGCACAGAAATTATTTGGCTACATCTCTTTCAGATACATTTTCATATACTGCTTTGAAAGTCAAAGTTAATCCTGTCCTTTCTGGTGTGATTTTATGATAATAATTTATTTTATTTACTCCTCCCAGATATCATATTCTTCTCATTTTGCACAAACGTCAAATATTCTTTAAGGTTCTTTTTTTTTTTTTTTTTTTTTTCATCAACTTAACCAACTTCCTGGTACTTGCAATGCAAATTACTTTTTCTCTTGAATAGTCTGCAAGTAAGAACTGCAAAATTAGCATAGAGATGAGCAGGCTCAGGGAGCCTCTTATCAAAGAAGAGCAAGGCTTTTTTAATTGATGCCCAGTGACAGACGGTGGGCAAAAACTGAAACACAGGAAAAATGATCTATGCATCAGAAAGCATTTTTTTACTCTGAGGGTAGCTGAGGACTGGCGTAGGTTGCCCAGAGAGGTTGCCATTGGAGACCTTAAAAAGCATCTGGATGTGGTCCAGTGCAGCCTGATCTGGGTAGCCCTGCTTGAGCCTGGTAGAGCAGATGGATCCAGGAGGTCCCTGCCAAGCTCAGCCAAGCCATGATTCTGTGAAGAAGAAGGATTTAGAACTAATTTTAAATATGCTTTTTTGGCTTAAACCTATATTTTTCTCTCTAGCACCTAAATTTATGACATATACATGCGTGCTTGCAACCAGCGTGCAGTTGGACTGTTTGAGGAAAATTTGTTCTAGTTATGGTGGTATTCCAAAATGCTGTTTCTCAGTTTATGAGAATGCATGAATTGCCTTCATAATTGAGTTGCCTTCATATATTCTAGGCATATGTGAAGGAAATGATCCAGTAGGTTTTCTGTTTCTGGGCAAATGTCTGATTATTAAAGCATTAAATAATCTGTATTTGCTCAGAAGAAAAAAAAATCAAGAGCCATATTCAGCCTGTGTTAATTTCTTTAGATTTTCTAACCAAAAACTGAGATCTAAGGATTAAGCTACATTAAGAATGAACTTGCAGACCTGCAGTTTTCTAGTTCCTTTGTTTTTTGATTGGTAAAGGAAGAAATATTGGATCTTAAAATGCAAATGAGGTGTTTACATGAAGAATATTTCAATACTACATCTAAGGTGAGAGCTGTGTCATTATTCTAAGGTGAGCTGAACATTAGCAGGAAGAACATGATTGTTGTTTTGAGCTCACCCAACCCAGGTGTTCAGGGCCACATGTCTGTGCTTGAACCTCAGACTTCTTGCTTCTGACCCACACACTATCTAAATATCCACTTAAACTGTTTTCTGGAAGAGTTAAGGGTCATTTCATATTTGTGTGAGGGGTCAGGCAGTTCTACTGTCAGCATACTGAGCAGACAGTACAGACAGATATACAGGTCTTTTACAAAATCTGTCACTGTATAGGACCTAGTAAATAGCCTGCAGACCCACTAATTTGCAAACAGATTCACTGTTGCTTATTACCCGGTTTAATTTTTTTCAGTATTTCTCAATGACTGAGAAAGTAGCCTTATGTATTGCCAGGTTTGTGGTACTACTTAAGGAAGTGATTTGAAATGTATATTATTTTGAACTTCAGCAAATTACTGTCTCAGTAAGTCACTAGGTATAGAATCAGCTGCTGCATCATGTTGTGTTAATATGCTTAGAACTAAATCCTCCTTGTCTTTGCCTCAAAAGTAATCCCACTGACATCAATTTGTTTTTAAGTCTTCTAATAACTACGGGGAGTTGTAGTACTTTATAGGATCACCTTCAGAGATCACAGGATGCAAAACTGAACTCCACGGGTAACTTACTCTATTAAATAACATGGCAAGCAGAGCTGCAGTTTGACCTCTGCTTCATGCCTGGTGATTTTTCTTTGGGGGTTTGGACTTTGGATATGAGTTTGTAACTTTTTCACTTGCAGCATGGAACCTTCAATGACACACTTAAGTAGGTAAGCTGTGTAGCAAATGAAATCCCTTAAGAAGAATCTCTGCACCATTTCGGACTACAACATCTATATGCAAAAGGAATGTCCATGGGTCAATGCTAATTCTGCTAATATACTAGAACTGAGCCAACAAGTATTCTTCATTTAAGTCAGCACTGCAGGCAGTATCACTGTTAATGTAGCTTAAGTTTTCCTGTACGGTGGAAACAGTGTGAAGAAGGAAAACAATAATTTTCAACAGCAATTGAAGATCCTTCTTTCTGCACTCTGCCTCCACTCTGATTTTGTTTTCTCAAAAATAGTCTGTGTGTGATTTCACAAGACACAGTCAAAAAGCATTTTGCCATAAAGAGTATGTCTTCAAAGGGCTTCAGTGTTTCCCAGTGCTTACCAGGATTCGGAAGTTCTTTATTAAATAGAACAGTTTTTTAAAATGATCCTCAGAAAGTTCCCCCAGTGGCCTCCTAGTTTCAAATTCAGCACAGTTTTTGTTTCTTGTCTTTCCTCATGAATTCATGCCAGTTATATGTGCTGATGCAGATAAGCAGCAGTGACATTGTATCACACTGCCATGCTGGTGATGCCTTGTGTTAAAGTTACTTCTATGAAACAGTGGTTTATGTTTTCTCCCCATCTCCTGCCCCCAAAAAGAAGAAAGGTTGAGTGGAAGGAAGAGATTTATTAATGACCAGGTTTTTGCTTGTGTTCACTTGTGCTGTAAAATCATTTTCTCTGTGATTTACTGCTGTGATAAAATGTCAAACTTATGTTTTGTCTGACCAATTTTGCTTGAAAAAAAACACGATACTATTAAAATTGTGTATCTTCAGTTTTATTCCAATTTTTAATAGAATATTAATTTAATAGGTATTTACAGGAAGGTCTCTGTTCAAGGCCTTATTCTTTTCACCTGACTTGAGTATCTCCATTGATACTTACTTCTGATTAATATTGTGTTCTTAGAGCTGTTTTTACACCTAATTGTGATTGGGCCAGAAATCAGCTTGGAGATTTACCTTCAATATTGCACTAACTTTTTCAACTTCCATCACCAATTCTTCTTTGTATTTTTGCTTCTCCACTTTTTTTTCTAGGTGAACAAACAGCTTCATAGTTTTCTCTATTTAACCAAGTTTTCTTCAAACACTCTCACTGGCTATTCCTTCAAAAGGCTCTTTTTGTATGATTCAGCAATTGCATGCCTGAGTAAATTTCTCAAATAGTCAGAAATCTATTAGAGAAATATCACAGAATGGCCTGGGTTGAAAAGGACCTCAAAGATCATCTAGTTTCAATCCCCTGCCATGGGCAGGGTCGCCAACCACCAGACCAGGCTGCCCACAGCCACATCCAGCCTGGCCTTGAATGCCTCCAGGGATGGGGCATCCACAGCCTCTCTGGGAAGAAATATGATGAACATGGTTCTGAATCAGTACAATTTCCTGTACTTTTCTGTTTTCCTGAAAATAAACAGGGCATTCAAATTTCCTTTTTACTCAAAATCCTGAAACACTTCTATATGAATTTTCCTCTAGTGTCAGAAGTGATCAGTTCAAACTGGTGTATCTATTTCTTTTCTCTCCTTTTTCAAAATTTTTCTGGATCCTCTGTAAATTTCTTTAAAATCAGGTTTTGGATGGAAATTCCAATGATCTCTAAATCTGTGTATCTTTTCCCTTCTTGATACTGCATAATCCTGAATAACTTGTGTCCATTACTCTTGCTTTTAATACTTTATACTCATTTTTATTTTGCAAACAGCGAACAGTCTTCTACTTTATTTTTTTCATGATACTTTTTCTATGCTGAGATTGTATTTTAAGTGGAAAGATTTATACTTCAGTACTTTATTGCATACAGAGTAAGAAATGTAAGTTCAGTTGTAGAACGTATCTCTTCTGAAGTAATCATTAAAGTATTCCTAACAATTGCACTGAAGTTTTCAAAGCATTTACAAACACAAGTGAAGTGTTCTTAATTATCGAAAACATGTTTAAGGACTGAGAATACTGCCTATGGATTATAATGGGCACAAACGATGTAAATAGAATAAATAGAATTCTAAATGAAGGAAGAAATGGAATATAATGAGGAAAACTGAAAAAGTCAAAACTCTTGTTATGTTTCAGAGTACAACTTTCTGGGTGTGTTTTGGAGAAACATTTACTTTCTCTGTTTAAATGTATAAGGTGATTATTTTATTTTATTTTTGTTCCTGAATAGAAATACTTAAGCTTGTACATAAGCAAACAGACAGACATAAGACTGCAGAAATCCCTAATATTAAAAAAAAAAAATCTAGTCCCAAATTTGCAAGGAAAATAGTTCTCAGAGTGGAATTTTGCTTTCAAATATCCTTCTAATAAAGAGGGATTAAAATTAGAGATTTGAGTTTTCTGAATTGTCAGAAATGGATTTGACTGTTACTGTTTTCATTTTGAGTTTGACAGATGTCACGTTCATGTTTGTTTCTCAGAGTTCTATGTTCTATGTTGGTGTTGATGGCTCTTAGCTCATCTCAGGTCAACATTGCAAATCTTAGCCTTTCTATGCCTTTTATTCTCATTGAAATCATGATGAAAAATGCCTTAGGTATTTGTCTTGCTTATTTTCAGATGTAACACACTTAACAATGTGACTTTCATTGGATGCTATATCATTTTTCTCATACAAATGAAAAATAGTATCATTACTGGATTTTCAACTGTACTAACTTCCCTGCCCCCATCTCTCTAGGTTTTTATAGTTTGGGATCTACAGACCCTTTCAATGCTGCAGATCTTCCAAGATCAAGGGTGTCCGAGAGCGATTGAGACCCTTGCCATGGTATTTGACAATGCTTGTGGCACACTTATCACAGGTATGTTACTGTAACTAATGTGTGAGAGCTTCCCCCCCTGTGTATAGATCACTTGAAAAGTAATGTCTCCTATCCATTAGCGTGGAAACTACAACAGCAACAAACAGTAAAATGACACTTTTGATAGAGCAAATTCTCAGCTACAAAACACAATTTTTTCAATGTAATGACCAGCATTAGCTGAGCATTTTTGTCAGTGATGAACAAGAAAGAGACTGCATGCCCACTCTCATAAAAATCTGCACTAGCACAGGTGACCCTCTGTTTCATAGCTGCTAGGACAGCATCATTACTAGGAAAATGTTTCCCATGCAGTCCATCTTTTATCAACCCATATAGAAGAAATCAGTAGGTGCCAAATCTGAACTATAAAGTGGGTTTGGAAGGACAGTCCAGCCAAGATTGCAATTAAGGTCTCTGGTCTTCAAACTGGTGTGCAGCCTGGTGTTGCTATGTTTCAAGAGAAAGGCTGCCTTCTCTGGTCAGACTCAGGAAATGTGAGCCTTCAGCTTAATAACTGTTCCAGTATAGCGATCTGATTTGACAGCTTCTCTGGATTTGTGGAAATCTAGATGGATCACTCATTTCCTATCCTAAAAGTCAGTGCACATCCCTTTGCCCAGCTGGGGCTGCATCTTGGACTTTTTCTTCAAGGGGGAATTCACATTGCTACTCCATGGTCTGCTGTTTTGACTCTGGCTTGTAGTGGTGACACTACATCTCACACGTCTCATAACTGGTAATAATTCAATAAAAAACTGTCACCTTCAACCTCATTGGTTCAGTAGGTCCTGACAAACTTGCATATGGTGTTCTTTCTGTTCCTATGTGAGCATCTATGGGATGCACATGTTGCAAGCTTTGCAATATTGTAGCATTGCCACAATCATTTCCAGTGCATTGAAGTTGATGTTCAGTTCCATCCAAAGTTCCTTATTTGTAATCCAACAATTCGCATGGATGAGCTGATTGAGGCATTCTTCATCTTGTGTGTGACAGCTGTGCATGGCCATCTGGAACATGGCTTGTCTTTCATATCACTGAAACTCACCACCCACAGCCTTATTGTGCTTGCATCCACTGTTTGGTCTCCATAAATGTTGAATGAAGAAATAATGTGTATGAAATGTACAGAGAGGGGAGGGTATTTGCATGGTAAGACCACTTTGAAGGGAGTCCTGTTACATGTTTTGCTAATTTCAATATGGAAATATATGTGAAAATATGCAGCATGGGAATTAACAGCAGGAAACAGTAAATGATCAAGGCTTTTGTGAAGGCAAGGCAAACCTTTCTGAGAAAGAATAAGCTACCTGTTCTACTCTGTAGCCTTGCCCTTTGTTAAAAGCTACTCAGCTGCTGGTATTCCTGGACTCAGCTTTTCTCTGGCACCCTCCTTCCATTTGGAAATGCCAGAAGACCCACTTGATCAGGAATTAAGAATTGTGGGAACTCATCCCATGTTTCTTGGCTCTGCTTAACTTCCTAGCAAGGAGCGCAGAATCTTTGAGGGCTTAGAGATTCACGGGTGTCACTAAGTATTTTAGCCCTCTGTATCTAAGGAAGAGAACCTGGAAACCAGCAGGCCTTGTCTGACCCAAAGACATAGTCACTGAAATCCTGGATTCCTTAGCTTTGAAGCCTGACCTTGGGCTAGAGAAACCTGAGAGAAATAAGGTCATTGTTTTGTGTCTGGAAACATCTAGTTCCAGTATTTGCACCAAGAACAAGGCAAATAGCTTGTCAAATCTGAGATGAACATGAAATCTTTTGTTTTCAATGACCTGTCGGCTTCTGTTGAATATTTGTGCTAATAAGCCTGTTATAAACCTACTTACATTGAACTGGAGTCCACAAATCAGAATACTATTCAGACTAGTTTATAAATATGCTTAATAACTAAAAGATATGGGAAGAATTTTATGTTAAAATTTCACTTCGTGAGATTTTCAAAGCATAGTAACATAGTGGTTTTACATGGCTAAGTCCTCAGAAGAATGAGATAGCTTTGTCCTTATAAACACTGATTGGAGCTGTGTCTAAATATCTGTAAAAATGTTGTCCTGGACTCTGTTAATGGTGTCATTAAAAGGTTAAGTGAATATTCCCATGCTCCTGAACTAGACAAAAGGCTTGAGGCTGTATGTGGGTACATTAATTGTTATGGCTATGTACCTGATTTTACGGAGGAGATCTTCAGTTATTTGTTCCATAACATCCATGTACTATGGCTCACCTTCATGCTTCATTTCAGTACTGCCACAGCTTTCCTTCTGTGTCTTTTTCCAAACTGCAGTCCTGTGCCTGTTCTCATGCCAAGAATTAATGCAATTCTGTCCTTTGCTGCATATTTACTGCTGACTACATTATGGTGCTGTTAGACTGGAGCTATACTGGAACTGAAATAGGAGTCTGGATTGCAAGCCTGCCTTGTAAAAGCCTTCTCCTTTCCTTTGTCTTGTCTTCTCTGTCTGTCTTTCTGTCTTTGCAATCCTTCTGATCAGGGAGCACCACAAGGTGAAACTTCATTTAGACCTGCAGTGCTATAAGGTACAGGAGAGATCTTACTGCCTGTAGATAAAATTATCTTATGTCTAAGGAAGTGGCTTGAGGCAGAGAAATACTTAGCTATTGTTTAACTGAGGTTTTCTCTTTCCAAGAACAAATAGTCTCAAAAAACAGACAAGATTCCTTACGCTTTTCAGAAAAACTCAAATGAACGCTCCTTCTTGTATGAACCTTTCTGTAAAATATGCTCTCTCTTGTCTCACTACGTGCAGGTTCAACTGTCATTGATATTTATCCGCTAACGCACATGATACAAGATACAAAACAGGTCCCAAAAACACATGAGAAAAGCATAAATGTTCTGGCTTATAACAGGGCTTTTAACCAAATCCTCACTGTCTGCTCTGAGTCAATTCTGAAGGTGAGTGTAAGTTGTCCTTTAAGCTGAAAAAGTCTCAGATTTTTTTATTACAGATGAGCTATTGGGTGGTTACTTAAGCAACTGGTGTTTATTATTTAAACAGTCAGCTTTGCAACCATTTTTGTGCTCAAATTCTTCAGGGAAGTGATAGCCATGATAAATCAGCTATATTGGATTGAACAGCATTAATTTTATTAGAAAACTACTTCTCTGACTTGTACTGCAAGCACCAGACAGCAAGGTTTCAGAAGTACCAATTTTGGTTGTGCTTTTATTTCCTTTGGCCATATTTTGGTACACTTCACCTGACCGAGAATGGATAATACAGCAATAATAGTAAAAGTCTATTGTCTATTTAGTAGCTGCAAAGGACAATTTTAAATGCCACATCAAATATGTTTCCAAACAATTTATGCAAACTTAATTGCATGCTATTCTTTCATCCAGAAGGCATGTCTCATGAACATTGCTTAAAGTATAGTAAATGCTGGAGTCCCAGACAGCTCAGTGGGGTATAAAAAACATACTTCAGATGCTCTGTGGATTGGTATGAAACATGAATAACGTCACTTTGTGAAAACAGGACTATGTAAAAAGGTATAAATATACAAAAGGGTTCTTTAATTAAAATTGTCTTTCAGATATAAGGATTCTTTAAGTAAAATTGAGAGTTTTTATGGTGCACTCAGTGTGACCAAAACACAGAACCTGATTTTTTTTATCCTCCTATTATTCCTTTTTTTTCTGAATCTGTTTCTGTTTGACTAGCAGATCTGGAGCCAATTTGCTGACCTTCTGCAGATCCTTTTATTTTTCAGTTTCTTAGAACATGTTGTTCTGAGCCTTCAGGATTTCAGTCATACAGTGAAAGAGAAGTGTTGAATATAACAACCATTAACAAGAAAAATAAAGTGATGGAGATGTCTCTCATTTGTTTCTTTTTATCACTGCTAACTGCTGAAATGCTATTTTAAATATTAAATACATGTATTAATTTTACTATTTGCATTTGAACCACTAAAAGTAATCACTAAACAAATTTCAGAGAACCCATAGACAAATACAGTGAATTATTATAGGTGTAATTAACAGTGATACTGGTTGTCACAAGTGCTAAGGACCTACAGTTTTCATTAATTACTAATGAAGTTAAGTGGCAAGATCTATAGGGTGATATAGCTACTGTTATTGAGACAGATGGTAATACATACCATTTTTTTTGGCAGAAGGCTTGTTTGTGTAAATTGTCTATATTTTACTCTCAATGAGATGTTATTTCTCATTGTAAACCTCCAACTTCTTTAGGTCATGATGGCTACATTACAATTACAAGATAGTTTTTGGCATCTGTTGCTGAAGAACATCAGATCCACTTAGTGCTTAAGACATGAGTGGCTACTTCACAAATCCAGTTGAATCTGGAGAAATTGCAGTAGGATCTCAGTAAAAGAACATGACTATGTGCTATTGAGTCTGCTGAAATAAGAGAATTTTTTTCATGGGGAGTTTAAATATGCTCTTGGAAGTATTCGTCTTTATACAATTACGCTAGAAAAAAAATGTATGAGGAATTTTAGAGGATGTACTACAAATGATCAGGTTTTTTTTTTAAGGTGTGGGACCTAGAAACAGGATATCAAATATACCAGATTGAAGATGCACATGGACTGAATATTGAAGTGACCTGTGCAGCAATTGAAATAAATGGTTTCTATCTTGCTTCTGGAGCTTGTGATGGTAAACCAACTAAATAGTTCCCATATTTTTATTATGTTTATGTGAAATGGCATATAAACAATCAGAACTCTTTGTCTTGAACTGCTTTGTCTCAGTGATAGAATGAATTTTGGCTTTCAACCAAGGTGGGAGGAAGTATTCCCACAAAGAAGTAGAGGGTTCTTTTTATTTGTCCTGGTTAGGTTTTATTTGTGTGATTCATAGAAAGGTGATTTTTGAATGCTGGGGCTCTGTTACTTTGCTTACCTATGACTTTGTAGGAAAAAAAAAATGCCTGCAAAGCTCTTGATCTGAAAAGATGTCTCCTCATCTCTGGACCTAGATCTCTATAGGACTATGAGTGAATGGCTCCAAATGGAGAATGGTAGGGTTTTTTTTTGATTTTATAATGTCTCAGTTCAATTTTGTAATGAACAACAGAATGTGTGTATGTTTCCTAACTTTTTCCCATGTTGTTTACGGTGCATCAGTTGTACGGAATGTGACAGGATCGCTCAGTATATTCATATATTTGATGCTACACCAAATTCTGCTGCAACTTTAATAATTTTGTAATCTGTGAACATTGAAGAACAGTTCTTCCCAAATTCAGATGTTCAAGTATATACCTGAATTATTGAAATGTATGAGCTATATGAAGGCTGCCTCACATAAAAAGAAAATGCCCTTTTTTCCCCACACAGAATACTGAATAATGTTTAGAATTTTATACTTTGCAACATAGAATGAACTCTTTATGAATCTTAAAAGCATGACTGTAGGTGAATGCTATCAAGTCCTACAAAACTGGATTCATAAATAATAGCTGCCTGTCATGGTTTTGCCTGGTTTCCTTGACAAGGCAAGATATTATGATGTGTAATACAGATGAAAAGCCATGAAACCATGACACTGCTTCACTTAGGATAATTCTCTAGCTTCTTCTTCTCACTATCCTGTGGGACAAGTCCAACAAATGTGTTGCTCTGCTCCTTGCTGTATATCAGAGCCTGTGGTGGTCTTCCTGACTGCACACCATTCTGTTTGCTCTCTGATGACACTAATCCAGAAACAGCAATGAACTGGGCTGTGGCCTTTCAACCTGGTCTGCAGCCTAAAATGGGCATAGAAGGGATGAAATAACAGTGGGGTTAATGGTGAAGGTGATTTTTGGTGTATTTTTTCTCCCTAAGCTTGCTTTCTCAATAAACATATACACAGTTACAGCTTCTTGAAGAAGATTGACTTAGCTCTGCATCTTCAATTAGATTTTCTTGTTTCTTCTCCTTTCCCTGTCCTCATTCAAATTCCTGAGTTTCAAGCACAAGCAATGTTGAAAGTTCATTCCCTTTTGTGTATGTTTCTTATTCCTGTCTAGGAACAGTGAAAATTTGGAATTTTGGCAGTGGACAGGAAGTTAAAGCCTTGCCTTTGACCCAACATAGCAAAAATGAACACTGCCTGTTGAAGTTAGTCTATCTGAAGGCTACTGAGAGTCAACATGTTCTTCTTGTTTTGGAACAGAGTGGGAAAATGAAAATCATTCAGGTTTTTTTAACATAATTACATGTATATGTGTATATATATACCTATGAATACATTCTAATTATTATTATTTCTTTCATTAGCTACTAATTTTCAAGTAAAATAAGACTTTCTCATTAATCAGTAGATGAACTAATAGAAATTATCAAGAAGTAACTCTCTGTAAGTTATCAAGTTAGCTTTCTTTCTTTTTAAGTTCATTAGTCCATTGCTTTTTGTGTTTTCAGTATTCTGATCATTTCTTTACATGTACTCACTATAATGGAAAATGAATATTTTGTCTTTGTAACTGAGGCCTTTTGATTCAATTTACTAATAGGCTGTAACGGTTATCAAGATAATCTGTGTTTGCTGGAGGACCAGATCTTTTTTTACTTGTGTGTACACGTTACTGATTAATGTGAAGTCATTCACGGTTGTTGAATCTGATTCTTCACCTGAAAAACTGTTTCATTGCTCTTCATCTTCATAAGATAACATTTGAGGCTGAGATCTGACTATCTGATGCAAAGGGACTACAATAACCTGAATCACTGACAGAAAGTTTGCAGAGCAACACTGAGGTTTTATCATGTGCTGGAATTCTGTAACTCTCAATCCTGCTAACCATTCATTTTTAAACAAGAGAATCAAGAATTTATGTTTTGCAGCATAGGGTATTTGATACACATCATTTAGCTGGCATATATGACACAACAAAAAGTTAAATAGAAACCAGGAGTCTCACAGTGAACAAAATTGGAACAGATTGAGTCATGGCTATGTGCAGAACACCTTGGAGACATTTACTCTTCATATCTTCCATGGACAAGTGCTCCCCTCCCAGTGCATCTAATGTGTATGAGCTGGCAGTTCACAAAGGGTCAGGAGGTACCACTTTATTCCTCAGGATAATGTTTGTGCTGGGAAGCAGCTGCCTAATGCCCTGATTACATTCCTTAGTGCTGATGCAGCAAGAAGTTTGTGTAAGTTCATTCTGGCTGCTCTGGAATTTTCACAACCAGTGCTCACTTACACAGTTCTAGCTGTTATAACTATACCCTTTGTGTTTTATTTATTACTGGCTGTACCATTAACAACTGCTTTGCTTCACAAGTGGAAACTCAGTCATATCTCAGTGTTTTGCTACTGTGATGTAAGATACAGAATTGTAGAATATCTGATCACTCTGCTGTGGGTAGTGCTGCTGCTCACCAGATCGAGTTGCCCAGGGCCCTGCCTAGCCTGGCTACAACTACAGGGTTGGGGCATCCACAGCTTCTCTGGGAAACCTGTTCCAGTGCTTGACCACCCTCCAAGTGAAAAATTTCCTCTTAATATCTAGGTCACTCCTCCTTTAGTTTAAAGCCATTCCCCCTTGCCCTGTCACTAAGAGAGTATGTATGTCCCTCCTGTCTGTAAACTCCCTTCAAGTGCTGGAATAACTCAATGAGGTCTTCTCAGAGCCTTCTTTTCTCCAAGCTAAAGAAGCTCAGCTACCTTAGCCTTTCTTCATAGTAGAGATACTTCAATACTCTGATCATCCTTGTGGCCCCCCTCTGGACAAACTCCAAAGAAGGGACACAAGGATGGTATATGCATTAGCATATGCAGTAATGTCTTTTAGGTGTGAAAGAGCTAGAGTACTTTTGGAAGGCTAGTTCAACTGCACAGGAAGAGCATAGAATGTACACAAGTGAGAGAGGAAGCTGCTAAAATGAACTGATTCTTATCTGGACAATATCTTCTCTTTTCAAAGAGAAGCAGCTATTAGGCCATGCTGTTCTCAGACGTGTTTAGGCCTTTTGTCTGGGACAACAATCAAGGGTAGCCAGCACTCTTCAACTGCTAAGACAGAGATTCAGATCCCTTCCAAGTTTGGTCGTTCAGTCCACTCTTCCAGAAGGTTGCTAGGCTCACTATGCCAAGGGAAGCATAGATTTAGCCAAGCCTGTATTAGTCTCAAGGAAGGTATTTTTAGAACTTTCAGTACTTACAGATTATTTAAGTTAAAAGCTTTAAACTCCCTTGCTGGTAAGTGATATATTACTTCTGATCCTCCTATTACTAAAAAACTGTTTTATTCAGAGTTTGCTTTTGACACGAAGCTGTACCTGAAATACTGCTGCACACCAACTATTCTGCAGTGTTAGTACTTGAATTGCTGAATTATTCATGTAATGTAAACATGCCCCTTAACTGACAGATTGGTGAAGAGTTTAATCTCTTCCATGTTTATGTGATTCTAAGAGATTATGTTATTCTTGTATACAGTTGCAGAACTACTTTTTCTGTAAAAATGCCTCAGTAATAATGAGAAATGCAGGTTATTATTATGAGAGTTTAAAGAGGCTCTAAACATGATGGCAAGATAAACTTGAGTAGCGCTCCAAAACTGTTTGTTCCTTGGAAGAATCTACCATACTCTCTCACAGTTTTCACTCCTTCCCCATATTTTTGTTTTTTTGTTCTTGTCAGTTGCAATTAATATTGTAGGACTTAGTAAAATCTTAATCATTGCTCTGTTCTGGAGCTTGAGACAACGGTGAGAACATGAGAAAACCTAAGAAGCTGATTTTAGTACCATTTTAAAACAGAATTATTAAGGTTAAAAAAGAAACTGGTTACTGAAGAGAATTTGGAATAATTGGAAAAACTGTGAAGGTAATTTGCAGGAGCTCTAGGCATAGTGGGGAAGGACTGTAATTCAAAGCAATGGCTTAAGTATGGCTTGTTCTTCTCACAGAACAGAGATTACCATCAGCTTTGCTAATATGCTAGATATGAACTGAATACTATCCATGTTAATAAAATAAGAAACTTGCGTTATAGATGCTTAACTTAGTTTAAATGGGAAATTAAACTGCATCTGCCAGATAAAGTTTGAAACGGTTTTTCTAATTAGGCATAGAAAATGAGCTTGCTGACCATTTTCTTATGAGTAACAAAATATCTTCCTCCTTCTTTCATTAATTTAATTATTTTAACAGGGTAATGAAATGCAAAGATATCTAAAGGTTACATGGGTGCTTCCTGAGGCAGTGTTGTTTCTACAAAGAAATTCAGTTGAATTTCTGTCACTGAATCCAGACACTTTACAAAAACATGAATTTTTTCCTGATATACAGCTACCACCTGATACCAGTTCTCTAAGCAGTGATGCAGAGGTGAGAAACACTAAAGTTCCATTACAGAAGATTAGAAAGTGAAAGGTTTACTGTGCCCTTGAGGTTTTCATGGTTTAACAACAGGATAAGAACCAGCTAAATATTCCAAACTTTCCAGTACACTGAAGTTCTAAATAAATCATGTAAGAGAGCTATTGTTTCTGAGATAGATCTGCTTAATAACTCATTGCACTGTTGTTGCCATGGTTAAGGAGCTCTGAATACATGCTTCATACTCCTGTACAAAAAAAGAAGTTGAAGTCCTTGTATTAGGAATCTTCTAGAAATCAAATTTCTTTCAGTGCTATAGATAGCCTGACCTTTAGTAATAGTGGCACATGAAAGTCAAGCTGAGTGTTGAAGTGATATCTATTCGCATGTTTAACAAGCCCTGCAGCTGCAAGCACATCCCTGATTCCTATTTGTTCAGAGCATGTTTGCTGCATGCTCTGGTGTACAGGTACATACATCATAGAGGCATCCTGTTGTGGTGAATTCCCTAGTAAGGTGTGAAAACGTTTTCCACAGTGCTGTCCTGTGGAAAGATCTTTATGTTCATATGCTTAGAGTAGGCTCATTCATTCCTGTTTGGTTGATAAGAGGTCTCATATCTACACCACCACGTGTCTTGTTTGCCAACCTGGTCCACAACCTTCTCACTTTATTTTTGATCATCCTTTCCCTCCCCTGTTAGTCCTAAATTTAAACCTCTCTTCAGTAGGTTTGTCAGCCTGTTGGCAAATATGTTTATGCTCCAGTTTGTCAGGTGCATCTTGATTCTTCTTCAAGTCTCAAAGACAGTTCCCTAGTCATTAAAACAAATCTTTGTTGATAGAATCTGCATATCCAGTTTTTGACCCACCTCAATTCCTTCTCTGGCAAGTAAGATAAAAGAGAAAACCACCTGAACTGCTAAGCCTTTTACTGTCATACTCAGAGCTATGCAGTCAATTTTGACACAATCCACATCTTGCCTGGTGGGATCATTTGTATCCACTGGGATATGCAGGGTGTACTAAGTAGTCTGAAGGACAGGCAAGCCCCAGCAGGCTCTTCATAATATTCCAAATCCGAGCTCACGCCAAGCAGAAAACATTTCTGCATAGCAAGACAGGTTGGTAAATGGAGGCCTCCAGCCTCTGCAGGAGGGACTTTGCCATTGCTATCACTCCCTGCTTCCTTCTGGTGCTTCTGCCTAGCTCAAATACAGTAGTATTAGAATAACACTGAATATGCAGTTGTAGTATACGCTGTTGATTTACACATCATAGTAAGTTAGCAGTTAAAAGAAGTCATTCTTCAGTGTCCATACTGTTCCAACTAAAGTTATTTTTTTAATGTTCATTACAGGGATTTGTGCCTTCTGTGGAAATGAAGTGCTTTGATGTTTTAAAAGTAGAAGGACATAGCTTGATAACTACAGGAAGTAAAAATGGTGCAATAATTGTGTGGGATTTTGAATCTGCTTCTGTCAAATACATGTAAGTCTTGCTTTTATGGAGGAATTTTCTTCTCCAGTATTTCATATGAACTTTTCAAACAGGATATTGGGAATTCTAAGGTACTCAACTGTAAAGGATGATCATCAAGCAGGAGTTAAAGCAGAAATTTGTCTAGGCCCCTCTCCCTCCCACTTCAAATTACTTTTCTGGCTAGTCCCCATGTTGAAGTTAGTAGAAGTAATTAAAAGAGTGACTTGTGGAAGGAATGAAGTAATCAAGAGTAGTGTTTTCACAAATCAGCACTGCCACTGAAGGAAACTTATTGAGCAAGTTACTGTCATTGGTTAGTGACTCCTGTGGAGCTGTAGAATTTCCTTATTTTTGAAGTTTTGTGTTTGGGAATATACTTGGAAATAAGACCATTTCAGCTGATAATCACAGATGTATTACATTCTTGCTGACTGATGTAATTTTGCTCTTTATTTTAACTTATTTCTTCATATTTCTTTTGGAAAGAAAGGCACATAAAAAAAAAAAAAAAAAAGAAAAAAAAAAGAGGTTGTCATTTATTCCCTTGCTATGACATAAGCAATTTTTGAGATGGTTTTTCACTTTCATGTGGAAATTTCTGGCAGTGTAGGAATGGGCAAGCAGACTTGGTGTAGGCTCTTTTATGGCCCTTTCAAAGGATTGCATGGTCTTTATATTATTTATATATATTGCATGGTCATTATTTTATGGTATTTCTGAGTAGAAATGTTGAAGTAGATAGGCTGTTGAATCATCCCACTGTTCTTATTTGGTTGGACTAATGATTAGTCAAAATATTTTTCTCACTAGCAAGGAGGTGACTTTCACAGATGTGAACCTGAATTCCAGCCATTCATTGAAAAGAGAAATAGAAATGTCCAATAGACCATGTTTCTGTACTTCAGATTGGAATTTAATTATATTATGATGTACTTTCAAAATGGAAATGCAGCTGTCCTTCAGTAAAAAGTTTCTTTAGGCTTGTTTTTGGGGAATGATACAGCATTACCAAACTAATCATTAAAAATGAGGCAGACAGAAACAAGTCTGTCACAGTCCATTGAGCTGAGATTGAGGGATTAAGCAGGGATCTTGATGATTTTGAAAATGAAAAAGGTGAAACGGTGGAAAGGTATTCCATTCAAAAACCTGAAGATGATGGGCAGATATCTCTGCTTGCTTGAAAAGGGGGGAAGTGTCAAGAGAGAAAACTGAATTATTCAATAAATAGCAAGAAAAGAGACACAACCAGTGAAAGTTAAATAACTTTTTATTTTAGATAAAAGAAATTCATCTGGAGAGGCTTGTTAAAGAACTGTTTTGGCTACAGCTATAATTTTTGTTATTTCAGTTTTCTGTATTATCCTCTGGTCTTTTTTTGACCTTCGTACTGTTCTAATAGCTATCTATTTGCAATTCAGTATTTTTCCCCTTGGCCTATATTGGTGGTATTGCCTGTCTTTGCTCTTTCTGGTTTCGGATATCTTCTTAGTCTTACCTTCAAGTCTGATTAAAATACTCTCCTTTTGAAATATCTATCCTTACTTTTAGACATGTTACAGAAAGTGTGTGTTTGTTTGTTTGTTTTTGCCTACTCACTAGGCAGTAGCAGCATTTTGATGAAAGGCGTTTGTGATTCAGATGGCTGGCTGCCCAGATAAGATGTCATACTAAGTATTTCTGAGTGTCAGTAATCAATTTTGCCTAGTTCCAGCAAATGCTGTAAATAGATCAGTAGTATTAATTTAAAACTTCTTGGTTAATTAGTGCAAGTTTTTTTGGAAGTTGAACTGAGGGGAAGAAACTATGTTTTGAATAAGCATGACCTGAAAACTTGTTTCATTTTCTTCACCTCAAAGGTACAAAAATTGATCAGGGGAAAATGCTTATTTCAATTAGAAATGCTTAGCTCAGATACTTGTGACAAAGAAGAAATAAAAACCTTGTTTCACAAAGCTGCAACGTTGAAAATCCTCTTCACTCAGTAAGCCCCTGACTAAGGTACTCCTCAGTACGTTGGAGCTATGGGCTCAATTCCTATTTCTATCTTGATGATTTTAAACCCACAGCTTTCACAAGAGTTCTTTAACTGTTATGTTACAAGATATTCTGCAGCACAGAAAAAAAAAAAGGGAAGTCTTTTTTTCTTATTTTGGAGCAATTCCAGTTTGCAAGACAAGAATGATCCATGAACCCAGGTCTAGTCAATTATTTATTCACAGTGGAAACAGGAAAGGTAGAAAACCTGCCTTCATCAGGAATAAAAAGAAAAAAAAATTGACATAAATTACTTCAGTTTTCTCTAAAATTATCTCAACAAAATACTTGGCTGAATGAATTTACATTATTCCATTTAGCATTTTTCTTGCACAGGTACATTTTTTACTTACTTTTTACTGTCATTAATCCATCACAATTATTTAACTAATTATGAAAACTGTCTAAACCCTAGATGACATGCTTTTTTAAGAAATGAAGTGTTTAAACTCTTAGATTGTGAATGAAGTGTACAAGGTTTTCTGAAAATGATACACAACATATCTAATATATTCAGTACAAACATCGTTATTTTTCAGGTGTAAACTTAATGAGAACAGCCAGGCTTCAGTTCCTCAAGCATCAGGAGTCAATGCTGTGTTATTCCTCGTGCATAGTGCTTCCTCTTCCAGGTAACTCTGACTTCCGCCATGACAAGGGTCATCATTTGGAATTCTACTGTAATCTTTGACCAAGAAACCATATTTAAACTGGAAATTGTTTTGCATTTAATCAAGTTCAAATGGTTTCCTTTTTGCTTTCCTATCCTTAAACTATTGACACTGCTCTTGATATTAAGCCTTTCAGGCCTTGTTCTATGGTGCCCAGTGTCAGGACAAGGGGCAGTGGGCACAAACTGGAATGCAAGAAGTTCCATCTAAACATCAAGAATCACTTCTGTGTTGTGTGGGTGGTGGAGTTCTGGCACAGGGTGGCCAGAAGGTTATGGAGTCTCCTTGGCCTTTCTTAACTCAGAAACAGACATCAAACACTACATCCAACTTTTTTCTCCTTCCACAGAATCCTATTTCTGAGCATTATTTTAACAAACTGAAAATCTTTTTTGTAATTAGCTGAAAACTCTTTGCAAAGAAAAACACTGTGTAAAATGAAAGGGGAAAACTCGCTGGCATGCAGTGAATTTTCCCTCTTCACTTTTGGAAGACTAATACCAGTGTTAATTTTGACATACTATGGATTTCGCTTGCTCAAAAGTCTTGATAGGACAGTCTGGCTGTGTAATAATGTGAATCTTACCAAGTTACTTGCATAAATTTCTAAAACACCAGCAATTCTTAGTCTAGTCAGTCCAATTATTTCAAGAAATATTTTATTGTGCTTTATTACACTGGATCATGTTGATTTCCAGATAGCAAACAGCATCTTCAAGACTGTCGGAGATCTTTTCAACCATCTTTGCCCAGTTTTTCTTTTTTTCATACAGGAAAATTAGCTCTCTATCCTCTACTGCTGTTGTGAGTAGTGATATTGACACTGACAGAGATATTGATGATCTCCCAGAGCACAAGAACAGCCATTTGAACCAAAATAAGGTAGGTATAGCAGTTTCAGGGATTAAATAGCATCAAAAACAAATTTCGTTTTAGGTTTTAAAATGTTGTACTTTACTAAAATCTCTCCATAAAGCCATGCACAGAACTTAGGATCAAGAATTACAGAAAATAAGAACTTTCAACTTGCATGGGAATGAGGTAGGGAATTATGAACACGTTCTATCAGGCAGCTAGATCTCTGCTACATGAAATATTTGACTACCAAAGTGTGTGTCAGTTGCTTGTCACTAGCAATTCTGACTTTCAAACAGGAACATGAAGAACTAGAATGGGAAGGTCAAACAGACAAATTCTAAAGTACTTGAATAAAAAGAGAATTGTATCAACGTTGCAACCACATTTACTTGGATGCAATTTCAAGGGGATTTTCAAATGACTGATAGGATAATGTTTTTAAATTTACCATCAAGCTGCATGTATATCAATCTGCACATTTTTGCATTATGGGTTTTGTGATACTTCTAGTCCTTTTAAGCCAGAAGAATATGGCAAATCTGCATGATAAATATAGTGGCTACTCATGCATTTTTTTCCATCTTTACTCAGGACAAGAACGACAATAAGAATATTTGGAATTATATTCACTAAGAGACCTAGAGCACGTTCATATGACTATAAATGATGAATTTTGTTTTTCCTAAAAAATAAATACCCTTCAGCCAAATTTACCTTTAGCATCCTCCTAGCATATTCTAATTAATTTCATCTGTGATTTTTTTATTTCTGATTTTGATTTCCTTCAGATGAAATGCTATGGGATGAATAAAAATTTGGGAAAAATCGAATCCTCCATTTACAAAATAAATTCTTGAAATAATTTCTACTAGAAAACTGTTCTATCCGAAGTTCCATTTTATAATTCTGTTACTTTTTACTCTTTGCTTCTAGGAAAATGCAAGAAGTGATGAAAACAGTACTCGGATAACAGCAGGTATGGAGAACTGTTGGTTTTCATTATCTCTTTTGTTGATCCCTGCGTTCTGCCCAGATTACCATAGCAACTATGTCAGTTTGTTTGGTAAACTGGGTTTAGAATAACTGAGCTACCATTGGTTTTCTAGATGATACACTTCAGTTTTGCTCAGCCCTGCTTTGTAGTTGTTTCTGGAAAGCTAGGTCAGGATGCAGGATCTGTAAGGCTCAATTCCTGTTTTTTTCTAAAGAGACATGATTTGATAACCTTGCAGAATTTTTGATGCATTAATTTTTGTACATTGGTTGCTCCAAAAGTAATGCCTCATACTTATTTTGACAACTGGAAGAAAAGGAGGTTATCAAGAGTAGTCAGCACGAGTTCACCAGGGGGAGGTCGTTCTTGACCAACCTGGTAGCCTTCTATGATGTTGTCTCTGGCTGGGTGGATGGGGGGAAAGCAGTGGATGTAGTCTACCTTGATTTCAGCAAGGCTTTTGATACTGTCCCCCACAGCATCCTTATAACAAAGCTGAGGAAGTATGGGATAGATGAGTGGACAGTGAGGTGGGTTGAAAACTGGCTGACTGGCAGAGCGCAGAGGGTCGTTGTTGGCGGTGCAGAGTCTGGTTGGAGGCCTGTAACCAGCGGTGTTCCTCAGGGGTCTGTGCTGGGTCCGGTCTTGTTCAACATCTTCATCAATTACCTTGATGAGGGGATAGTGGCCACCCTCAGCAAGTTTGCTGATGATACGAAGTTGGAAGGATTGGCTGACACACCTGAAGGCTGTGCTGCCATTCAGCGAGATCTGGACAGGCTGGAGAGCTGGGCAAAAAAAAAAAGGATGAGGTTTAACAGAAGCAAGTGTAGAGTCTTGCATCTGGGGAGGAATAATTGCATGCACCAGTACAGGTTGGGGGATGACCTGCTGGAGGGGAGCTCTGCGGAGAGGGACCTGGGTGTCCTGGTGGACGACAGGTTGGCCATGAGCCAGCAGTGTGCCCTTGTGGCCAAGAGGGCCAATGGCATCCTGGGGTTCATTAAAAAGAGCGTGGCAAGCAGGTCGAGGGAGGTGATCCTCCCCCTCTACTCTGCCCTGGTAAGGCTTCATTTGGAGTACTGCGTGCAGTTCTGGGCTCCCCAGTACAAAAAAGACAGGGATCTCTTGGAAAGAGTCCAGCGGAGAACCACGAAGATGGTGAAGGGCCTGGAGCATCTCTCCTATGAGGAAAGGCTGAGTGAACTGGGTCTGTTCAGCCTTGAGAAAAGAAGACTGAGAGGGGACCTGATCCAGGTCTATAAGTATCTAAGGTGTGGGGGGCAGAATGGCGAGGCCGGACTCTTTTCAGTGGTGAGTGGAGACAGGACAAGGGGAAACGGCCAGAAACTGCAGCACAGGAAGTTCTGCACAAATGTGTGCAAGAACTTCTTTACAGTGAGGTGACGGAGCACTGGAACAGGCTGCCCAGGGAGGTGGTGGAGTCTCCTTCTCTGGAGATGTTCAAGACCTGCCTGGATGCCTACCTGTGAGACCTGTTGTAGGGAACCTGCTTTGGCAGGGGGGTTGGACTCGATGATCTCTGGAGGTCCCTTCCAACCCCTACAATTCTGTGATTCTGTGATTTTCATGGAAATTGCAACATATTCAATGAGCGTGATAATACTATTTGGTAAATTCTCAGCTACAAAACACTTTTTTTCAGCATATTCACCACCATTAGTTTTTGTTAATGATGAACAAGAGCCTGTGTGCTGCACTTAGGAAAAATCTGCATGGCTCACTGGAACACAGCTTGTCTTGATGCTGTCACCACTGCTGAAACACACCACTCACCACCTCACTGTGCCAATGAACGTCAATGGGTGTCATTCTTTCCATGTGGAGGAATTAAATGACTCATCTTTGCTTCTTATGCACTTCCATGTCAGCCACCATTTTGTCAGATTGCACCTCTGCTGCCATCTGTCACATGGCAACAACATGTAACAGAATACTGGTGGGAAGGTTCAACTTCTACTGTCATACCACAAATATCTGCCTCTGATGTGCCAACGTAATAAAATAGGAGTAATTACTTTTGGAGCAGACCTTCAGTATATCTTTAAACAACAGAAAAAAATAGGCAGCCAAGTGCTCAAGAGTTAAAGCTGTGCAAAGGGAGTTGGTGCGTTTGTGAGAAGTAGATCCTCTAGATTCTTCTGGGACCCTTAAACATCATCTGCTTGATAGCAGATTTTTCCAATAACAACAAACGCGGTCACCTGAAATCTGGTTTTAGGCTAAATACAATCAGCAAAGGAAGCATGCTCTGAAAACAGAATATTCCTAAGCCTCATAGCTGCTCAATGAAATAGACACTCAGGCTATGTCTTGCCCCCAGTGAATGTACATTCCTCTGAGGACCTTCAAGGGATGCCCAGCAACTCTAGTTTTGGGGAAGTCAAATCACAGCAGGAAGTCAGAAAAGGCTGTGGCCATTACCTTGAATTCATGTTTGAATTTGAGAAATGAGTATAAAAATCTGATTTTGGAATCAGTAAGTGTCATTTAGTTATTAAACTTATTTAATTGCTAAATTTATAATAATCTCTGGAACCCTCATGCAGAGGCCTCAGAGCTGCTTCTCAGCTGTCCTGATGACCTCCTTCATTCTCACTAGCACGTGCAGTTTCTGTAAAATCTGTTGCTATGCTCTGAATAATGTTATTGGAGTAATAATGCTGGCCGGTTTGCATGATACCATGAAGATTGTTTTCATTTCTTGTCAGTTGTCTTCTATCCATGTCTGCAGCATTTTCATGATAATGCTATCTTGATGTTGGCATTTATTTTCAAATTTAGTTTTTTCTAGTATTATGTAATTTCTGTACATTCAAAAGCTTTTTAGAAAATGTGTGATCATTTGTGTTCCAAAGCAGAAGACGCACTTAAGTATAAGTATATCCAGTACTCAAAGACAAATGCACAGTTACCCAGGGATGTAGGAAGATGCACACCAATACTGGCTTCTGCTCATGAAAACGGCTGCATCTACTTATGGAGTATTCAGGTAGCTTTCTGAATGTATTTGGGATGGGATTGGACTGTTAAAAAGTTAATTCTATTAATCTTTGGAAAGCTGCTTTTCAAGTAGCACTTGCAGCAATAGATATTTCATTGTTTTTTTGTTTTTTTGGGTTGCTTTTTTTTTTTTTTGATAAAGAGTTTTTTCCACAGACAAAAAATAGTTCTGCTTTAATAATGGTAACAGAGTAATATCCAGTGGAAAATGAAGAAATATGGTTTATATTGAAAACTGGCTGTAAAGTTATGTGAAATTGTAGGAACTGATTTTTCACTCACTTCATGTACCATTTAAGAAAGTATAATACACAAAGCAGAGTATCCTGAGCTCTGATGAGGAGAAATATGGCTGGAGCATTTCAGAAGCCAGTTAGCACTAGTAGGGTTACAAATTTGGAGCAATAGTATCTGATTATGTCTGATCTGTAGCCATAATCATGTAAAGCCAATCTTGAAACAGAATGCCAATGGCTTAGTGACAAATCCATAGGACTGCTCCAGAAAGTATGTTATTCTAAACAAGAGGTGAAAAGTAAATACACATAGAACGAGGAGCCTAAGAGGAAGCCCTAGCTTCCTGTAAAACAGCAAACGCAGAAGGAAGATGGTGAAGTAGCTTTTGCTGATGTTTTGTAAAAAAACAAAACCAATACAATGGTAAATGTTGACAAACACAGTAGATACAAACTTTGTGTGCTTAGATTCCTGTAAGCATTCCCAAGTTCAAATGATGGTGATGTCATCACTGACATCATTATCACACTGTCAAGATTCTCCTTATCTGCATGACTTTCCCTCACCTCCCAGACCTGAGAGGACTGTAGGGGAGAAAGGCTATTGGTACTTGCTTGAAAACAAAACTGGTTGGTGATGGAGACATCATGTGTGTATTTTCAGCAAGAAATGACAGGCCAGTAGAAAATGAAATGCATAGTGATATTTCATGGCAAATGAGAGGTAAGTGTTGAAGTAGGGATAGGTATGATTGAGTTGTGAATTGCCTGAAGAATAAAATCTGTTGTGCTTTTGATGAAGAAGAGATGACAATCCAGAGAGTACATCTCAGCTATATTGGTCATTCGTTAGATTAGGAAACTACCTTTTCAGCAGCTCTCTGGATGGGTATAAGCTTGATAATGCTGAACAGATTAAGTCAATAGCACTTAACTTCTGATGCTTTTTTTTTTTTTGGCATGAAGGTGTTATAAAGATAAATGTGATTTTAATTATTCTATTTTAGGGGAATTTACTGAAAGAAATTTTGCCATTTTCAAAATATCATCCAGTTCCTCTAACAGCAATATGTACAGACATCTCTACTAAAATGCTTCTGGCAGGCAGTAAGGGTAAGTGAATATACTGATCGTTCTGCTCAGGACAGTTTGAAGAGCTACATAAGATCATGCTGTTAATGTGCCAGAAATGTGAAAATGAAAGTGCAAATGCTGCTAGACTTTCTCCATCAAAGCTAATTAAACAATTGAAAATGGTATTTCCTGGTAGGAAAGGCTGGTAGATTAAAGCTCAGGATTAGTAGCATTATCAGTAGTCTTTCAAAAAGACATTACAGTTTTTTTTATTTACAAAATCTGTATACATTTTCCATCTGAATTACTGTAGTAATACCAAAGGCTGCTAAGAACAAGCAAAAATGTCACAACATAACTAAATAAAAACCTGATCCTGTGTCTGTACTGAGAGCCTTGATTTAGACACTGATATGGTGTGCACAATAATGGCCTTATCAGTACACAGCTATGTAAGGAAAGAAAGAACTTGTAGTCTGTGCTAGCAGCTCACTATTAGACTTAAAAGCCGGATTTGGTGTGAATTTATCTCCTGTCTGACTCTCCTTCAAACCTCTCCATTCACCCTGGAAATTTTCCTCTTCTGCATCAGTCATATGAGATTTTTGTCCTGTCATGTGCCGCTGAAGTATCTATTAGAACTGTTTCCTACTGGTTTCCTGCTATTATGCTATCAACATTGGGATGGATTGAGAAGTTTGGGTTTTTCTTGTTTGTTTGTTTGTGTGTTTTATAGTCTTTTTTTTATTTCATCTGGTTCAAAACTGAGCAGGAGACTGAAGTGCTGAAAATGAAGAGGAGTTTCCAGTCTTCATTGATTCAAATCAATAAGGTGGCATGCACTGAACAAGATTTTAATTAACTGTGGAAAAGCATCCACCCTATCACTTGTTCATCTGACACTCTCCCTTAGTCCTTTTGTGTTTCCGCCACTGATGAATGTGCTTCTCATGCCTTCTGCACTCTTCTCTGCAATGCTAATGTCAATGTCTTGTTCCCTTTACCAATTTTCCTTTTTCCTTGCTTGTTAGTGCTCGTTCCTAAAAGTCAGATGTGTCCAGTATGAAGGCTGGAATAGCACAAAAGATTCCTCTGTCTAGTAGTAGAAATTATGGATGTAAAGGGCGACATCAGCAGGGAAGAGTGAGCCTAGGTGGGAAACTGAGCGGTCACAAGTCATGAGAAAAATGGTTCTTTGATTCTAGTTCCACCTGAGTGCACTAGAATGTTGTATAACATTAAGCCTTCACTATATATGCAATTAATCACAAACTTTGTCCATTTTACCAGGATTGAAAAATAGTTTTTCATCCTCAGAAACTCTCATCTAGCTTGTGTAATAGATAACAGTCTGGAAAAGATTACTCTTGTTGTTAACTCTTGTCACTCAAGGAAAGAACTCTGCATTCTTTCCATTTCAAATTTATTTACAGAAACATTATTCAAAATGATATGTGTATTTGCATATTACTAAATGTATATTATATTCTACTCTGTGTGCTTGATAAGAGATAGTGATTTTCCCACTAGAAGAATTTCCACTGACCTGTGACTTTCTTTATTTGTCATTCAGCCGGGTGTTTACCAAGAGCATATGTGAGCAACAAGAAACTGTGTAGCAATAATGAAATTTATTGATGTTTTGCTTTTTTCTTTTTTTAAATAGAAGGACATATTATGTGCTGGAGCATTGTCTCATTCTTAGAAGATCCACAAAACAGTAAGAATGTAAGGGAAAATCTTATAGTATAGTATACCGAATAGTATACTAGGATAAGACAAGTAGTGAAAAAAATGGATTCAGACCTTTATGGGGACTAAAATGGTTTCCCACACATAAAGGTCATCAAATAATAATTTGATGCCATGAAAAACCAACCAACAAACAAAAAGCTATAAGTAAAAAGCTGATAGCAGTATCCTATTGTGTTAAAAGAGGTTACATTAGAATGAATTTATCCCTGTCTTCTAAGCAGAATTTCTACCACTTACCATTTGCAGCCTCTTTGGTGAAGGGAACAATAAATCATCAGTTAATTTTCAGAAAGCCTTGCTGGTAAAATCACTAAGCCAGTAACCACAGTGACATACAGAACTGCCTAAAATGTGGTTATGTTGCTTTTTCCCCTCAGCAAATAAAGGAGGAGCTCTGTTGGATGGCACACTCTGCTGAAGTCATTGACTTATTTTATGAAGAGCAGAAAAATGTGGTAGTAACAGCATCTGTTGATGGTTCAGTCAGGTACAAGATAACTAATACTTCTTACTTCCAGGCCAGTTAGTTGAGCTGCCTCCTAAAATCTTCTTCTTGATGGACTCACATATAGACTTGGACAAATAAAGTACAACATTAGGCACATTTTCTGTTCTGTATCTGTAAGAATAAGTTTTTAACGTAAACACTTCTACTTTTCTCAGTAAGTCAGACCTTTTACAAGACTCATTTTCTGTCAACAAGGTAGCCTTGACTGCAAAAAACAATAGCATAATTTTAGAAATGACCTCCTGTTCTAATTCCATTTTATTTTTCAGCACTTGCTAAGTTAACATGGGTCCCCAGCATTGAGTGTAGTAAATTAGGCCATTGTAATCTCAAGCCACTTTATAGGAAAACTGCGTGATTCCTTCTGGGCTAAGAAGTACATTTGAAGGGGTGCTTTCTTTTTTGTTTTTCTGGTTTTTTTTTTTTTTTAGGGAGTCAATGAGGAAGTTTTGTACAGACCTTGCTGTGGTGAGGGCACCTTACTGTTGAAGCAGTTCAGGATATTGGTGCCTTTGTTCCACAGTTTAATTATAATGAACTATTTGTTTGTTTTCTGACATTTACAACATCCTGAGAATTTTTGCTCTCAAGTTACTTACATGGTAAACAGAGAACTTCATTTTCATTGATATTTTTTTTAGCTAACATACTGCATTCTAGAGCAGTGCAGCAGAACCTGATAACGTATTTTCACTCTTGCTCCACTTCTAAAAGCATTAACTTTCCTTTCTGTTCTTTGGAACTGCTTTTACTATATCCATAGACTCTGGCATGCTATGAATGGATGCTATCTTGGTTACTTTGGACAGCCCAGGAAATTTGAATTATCAGATCTCAGTCGATTGATTTTGCCTTGTGATGTTAAAGATGTTCCTATAATACTGAAAGAGGAAAGCAAGCATATGGAAAAGAAGAGCATACCGGACAAAGACAAGTAAGATCTCAAATATTTACATACATGCATGAGTGGGGAATAATTCTGAAATATGATACTTACAGAGCACCTTTTATTTGAAGGTCAGAAAAGTAAAATTGTTTTCCATGAGGAACTAGTATAATCCTTTTTGAAAAAAAGGTTTTACAAACCATGGATAAATCTCAATATTTTTGTAACTAGGTGACTATCATGACTAGGTGATCATCAAGGTTTGAGTTGAGTAATAGTAACAACTAGATAATCACCTCTGGTTTTAGCCTAATTACAGTTTGCATGCTATCTACACTGTTCAGGTTAGTAACCTATTTTTTTTTCAGTTCTGCAAACTGTTATACTTCTGGGATACCCAAAACTTAATTGGAAAAGCTTACTGTGAACATTTTCAAACTAAAAACAATACTTCCATTTAAAAGACGCTTTAATTAAGTTTGCTGGGATACTATTGTAGGTACATTCACATTCATATCCTAATTGAAGGATTCACCTTCAATCCTAATGCACTGACACTGACATAAATTTTGTATGCTCAATGGCAGTGTTGGGCCTCTTTCCTTCTAGGCAGAGTTCTCAAGGGTTGTGGATTGGCTAGAAGTCAAGCTGGAGAACCTTAGTCCTCTAGCTTAGACTGTAATAAGTCCCAGATCTCCCTGTTTCATTAACCAGTGTTTTGAGGGAACACAGAAGCAAAATGCGCGTGGCTGTTATTGACAAACTGAAAAGTTACTGCATGGCTTAAAGAAGTCAAACAGGCTTTAATTATAAGGTTTCATGTATTATGTGCATTTTTAGGCTGGCTTTTAACCAAAGAACTCTGAGACAATGGGAAAGTTCCAAGATCCTTTACTGATAGGCCATTTAGATTGTTTTCCTGCTAACTTATTCTTACACAGAATTCTTACCAATGTGAGTAGTCCTGCTGAAGTCAGAACAATAACTCATCAGTAAAGAGAAGTTCTCGATCGTGTTTGAAGGACTAATCCCTACAGTCTTTTTGAACAGGCAGCAAATAGTCAGGAACCTCTGGAAATGCTAACAGCTCATCCTGGGAGCCCCAGGCTTGGACACAGTACTCCAGATGGGGAATATCACGAGGGCAGAGTAGAGGAGGACAATCACCTTCCTCTCCGTGCTGGCCATCCCTCTTTTCTTTTGATGCAGCCCAGGATACAGTTGACTTTCTGGACTGCAAGAGCACACTGCTGGCTCCCATACCTGGGATTTCAACTGACAGTCACGATTTTTCAAGCATGACAGAGAGTGACTTGGCAACCACATCAGCCAGTTCCTTCATAACCCTGGGATGCATATCATCTGGCCCCATAGACTTGTACATGTACAGCCTCATGAGGTGGACCAGAGGGAACCTTCTCTGTTATTACAGAGGCATAGAAGAATTGTAATCAGAACTGAAAAACGACATTAGCAGACAGTGAATTAACACTGAGTTGCAATAAAGACTGTTTTATAAGTTAATTTCTCCAGCTTCCTAAAGATGACAAGCCAGTATCTGGATTGAAGAAGTGTTGGTGAAACACTTTGACATGTTTGAATATAAATTATATTTTGAAGACATATGTAGTAATTTATACTTCAAAATAATTTTATTTTAGTGTCAACTGAGAGTGTTAATTTAAATTTACTGTGTAGATATGAGCTTCTGATTTTTTGTCCTTTTCTGTTTTACATGCACAGGTGGAAATCAACTAAATCACCTTCAATTTTAAAAAAAGATAAACATATAAACACAATTCAGGACTTGAAGTTTTTCAAAGCTCTGGCTTCTCCAAAGGTATCTAGTGTATAAACTGATTTGTTTCAGTTCTGTGCAACATAGCAAGAAGTGCAACTGTATTTCTTATTTAGAAAACAGTCATGAATAACCCTATATATTCTCAGTCAGTAGAGAAGCTAGAACAAAAATGCATTAACAGAGAGATCCATGAAAATTCTGTGTTTTTCATTCTCTTTGTTTTACACTTCTAAATTCCAATGTAGAAGAAAGAATAAACTGATTCACTTGTTTGGCTTGACAGCATAAAAAAAACCCCTACAATTAACAACAAAAACCTCAAACCCAGAATTCTTACATGGACCAACAGAAATCCAAGTAGTATCCAAAGTTTACTTGAAGAATGTGTGAAAATATTAGAACAGTGGTGAGCACCTACTTATAAATAGTAGTTCTTTCTACTGCTTTAACTGAATAGTGGTGCAACTCCTCCATCTTTATATGCCATAGCCTTTAAAAGTCATGGGAACAAATCAAACTTCTCCTTTTGGATCTGGACTAGAAAAGGAAAAAGATGCACACTCTACAGGCACTTTTCAAAAAAAGAAAAGCTTCCATTAACACCTTTCTGAGCATTCTTTCCCCATATTTAGCGAGGGCTATGATTTCTTTACGTCCTTTCCTAAAATTTGTGGTACAGTGGGTCTCTTATGTACCACAATCCATTATCCTAACACTAATGGGGCCAGCTAGGATCTAAACAGCAGTCAGTGAAAGTTATTACTCCATGTGACCAGTTCTCTCTATGTAGCTTGGGTGAAATGACAAGAATGAGACACGCTTCTGTAGCGTTTATTGCCCTGTCCTGCCCAAACAGTCCTTTTCTTTTGCTTGCTCTGTGATATCAAGGATCAGCACTCATCTCCTCTGAATGTTCAGCTAGTTGGAGCTAATGGATTACTTGTTGCCAAACGTGCAGTTTTAAGGCATTCTGTCATTTTACCCCAAGGCATCGATAAGATGACAAACTTCCTTGTGTAACAGTTATACCAGTCAGGTATGCTGCACAGTCTCTGAAGTGACCTCTGTTTAAATCAGGACAACTGCTTTTATGCAGAAAGGGCACACAGTATAACGTAATGGCAGTTGTACACCGATCCCCTGCTGTTCAGCAGCTGTAGACACAGCAGTGTATAATAAAAGAGAAGTGGGAAAAAAATATGTTGATGCTGAGATCAAAACATGAATTTGACAGTATCAGTCTGTATAGGAACCGCTGAATCATGGCCTGAACCTCTGATTGATCACCTGAGGCGAGCCATGAGTCAGCACAGCTGAAGGCAATTCACCTGTGCTGCTGGAAGGGGTGGAGCCTGGCTGCACCTCTCCTAGACTCATTGAAGAGATGACTACTAATGGGGAAGGATCTCTTCTGGAGATCCGCTCTGTTGGAGTTTCATAATTGAGCCCAGGATTTGGGTGAGTGTCTCTATCTTTTCTGTTTTCTGCTTTGGTGTGTCAACTACGTAGCCAAGCTCTCTGCTATACTATAACATCTGTGTATTCATTGACTGTGTGCAGTCAGTGGCTGAGTTCACTGTGGGACAAGCCAGTAGAGGCAAGTGTCACTTTGGCTTAGTCATTTGAGAAGAAGACTCACAGTGGAAAACACTTGCCTGTCCACACATGTTGGCACTGGAGCTTCTGTTAAGAAAGAGTTTTGATGTGTTTTCATTAACCTTAGAGAAAAATAAATGGAGGAGTTCAGTTTGCACTTCAGACTAGAAGCGTGCTATTCAATGGCTGTGCAAATACCAAGAGTATACAATTAATTCATTGTAATCCAGATGTCCAATCGTTCTGAAAAAGGTAATGCCTGGTAATTAATACATAAGTGATATCTGGAATGAATTCCTTGAGGAATGTTTTTCATTGCTGAAAATGTGATATCTCAAACTGTTATTACTGCAGCGCACTTAGTTGTGTGAAAAAAATATTTGTAGAAAGGCTCTGTGCATTCACCATTTCAAACTAAACTCACTTTCAGATGAGGTAGAAATGCATTATTTGCACCATTTCAAGGTTTAGGTGTGTTCTTTTTCCATGTTAGAGGACCACTAGATCCTCTCCTAGGGTGAAATCGCTGTTATGTTGTGTAAGAACAGTTGAATTTCCTGCTCTGTCTGTATAATACCTATGTAAGTCTAAGGATTCATGTGAATGTGGATGAACTATCAAGGTACTTGAGCTGTTTTCACTAATTTGAAGCTTCCTACAGTTTACAACAGCAAAGCCTTTTTGTTCACTTATGTCTTTCTTATGTCTTTCCAAACTGGTTGCTGAAGTGTTTGTGACTTGCATTGCCCAGAAGAGTGAGCCAGACTGACAGTCCTTAGATGAAACTATCATGTGGGAAGGAGGTCTTACTAGATTAGCCTTCATTTAGCTTTCTACTGTCCTCTAATAACATGCATCCACCAAAACAGACAAGTAATGTGAAAATGATTCCTGTACTGAACTTAACAAAATGTTAATAGGTGATATAGCTAGGTAAGTATTTAAAACCAGATTTAATTTAGGTGATTTAAAAAAAAAAAAATTGCTATTAACTGTGTTGAATTTTTGTCCCTTGGGAAGCTGGAATCTTGCCTGCTATCTCTTTCCTATAGCAGAAGAATCCCCTTCTAATCGAAAAATGTTCAAAACCTGTGCATAAACCACAGTCTCTTCACATAGTAATGATATGAACTTCTTCAGATAACATGAATGCTACCCACGCTATTCAATAAAAGTAATAGTATATAATAGGATTTTTTCATTACCTTCTGTTTTGAGCTAGTAACAAACTCACTTTGGTTTCCGTTGATCAGCTTCCTAGACAACCTGTGGAGAGCATTGAGTCAGGAAGCAAAGTGACTGGTGCAGTATTTGGGCATCTTCCTATATATGAGGTAAGCACAAGTGCTTCCCACCTCTTGCTGCGGTGTTCAAGCAACAGAAGTCCTTAGCACTTGTAAATGAGTAACATCGCGAACTCGCTCTGTTGTTAACTGTTTCTCAATTTAATTTTCTCATGTGGTCTGACTTACTCTCAACCCAACTTTGTTCTCCATTTGGTGGAAGCTTAAGAAGCTAGCTGAAGAGAGCATCCTTCAGAGTGAGTAGTCCAACCATTTATTTCTCCTGTTCAGCTTTGTGTCATTAAGTCATTGTTTCAGAGTCTTTTCTTTTAGCCAGTACAAAGACTATTGATTCTGCACAAAGCTTTGGCTGTAAATTAACTGTAAGTTGATACCACTTTGAAGGTAAACTGTTGTTTAGATTTATTGTGAACTAACGAGGCTTCCTAAGTTGTTCCTAATTTGTAGTGAGACCAGAACTTCCACAGTCTCCTCGCCACCTATTACAGGATGGAAAGAATCACTACTTGAAGTAGTGCTGATTTCTCTCTGTGGAGAGAGCCTAGTGAACCAGTCTGGACAAGACTCCAAACGTTTAGATGGCTCATTAGGTGGAATGAAGGGAGCATTCAAATATATATGATTTATGGTTTTTAAAAGCAGCATTACAGATGGAGTATCTCATCCATACTAACCTAATGAACGCAGGAGCTGGCACGTATTGTGCAAATAGATGGCACATATGCTGTTTTTCTGAACATTAATGTGGAACTCTGTTTTCTTTCCTGACACGTTAGGAGCAAACATTGAAGCCAATGGCACCACAACAGATTTACATAAAATGTGATCAAATTATTTTGTGAGCTACATGTACAACAATTTTTTTTTTTGTCTGTGCTGTTACAAATCACTATAAAGTGGTCTGACTGTAGGTATATATTTATTAGCTCTTGAAAATTTGCATTTTATTTCTACAGATCCTCAATGGAACAAACCTGAGATGTCCACTCTAACTGAACTGACAGTGGAGAAAGAGCTCAGTGAAGAACAGAATCAAGACTAGTAAACATTATGTTCATCTTAAGGCAAGTAGTTTAGCAGGTTCCCTGAGCACATAGAAATAAAATCTTTATATCCATCCCAGTTCTTCAAGCAGCAAAAAAAATTTTAACATAATTATAACAAGACGCTTACAGAAAAGCCCATCTCACTCCACTTCTTGATGGATAGGAATGAAAAGCACCTTACTGTGATTGACTATTTTTTAAAGGTTCGGGGCCATAAATCTCCAAAAATACTTCCATTGCTGACATGCAGATGTCTCTGGAGAGTAAGACATGCACTAATTCTGGCTAGGATTAAGCTAGTTTTTTTTGTAACATTCCATATGCTACTGTGTTTTGATTTGTGATTAAAAAGGCATGATAACAGAACTGTGTTGTGGCTATTGCCAAGAGTTGCCTGTGTCATCAAGGTGTTTCTTTTCCCCACTCCCAGTGTACAGGATGGGAGAGACCACATCTGCTATGACTGACATGAACAGACCAGGGATATCCTACACCATATAATGTCCTGCTCAGCAATAAAAGACTGGGAAAAGGAGGAGAAAGATGAGGTGATGAAGGCGTCCGTCACATTAAGTAACCACTATGTGTGCTGTGGCCATTCTTCTCAGGTAGTGGCTAAACATCTGCCTTGAAGTAGTGAATGAATTCATTCTTTTTTCAGAAGAAAAGCAGAGACACTCAATTTTATTGAATGGACAAGCTACTAAAGCACTGCACTATACAGAATTAACTAGAATAGACACCTATTGTATCCTAGACAACAAAGGATGCTACAGGAAAGAAATTAAGAACAGAAAAGCTTATCAGACAATTGATAGTTCCAAAGATATTTTTCAGGCAGTCTTTTCAATGCTAGATCTAACACAAAGCTGTTTGCTAACTGGCTTGTTGAGTATTAGTTGTGAATTTTCTGTTGATGTCTCTGCATTCCTTTGGAAGCTATTTTTCCTCTACAATCCACAGTTATAGTTCAGGCTTAAGTGTTTTAGGTGTATCAGTTGTTCTGTTGTTTCAGATCATTAGAATATTATGGAAAGGTATCTTAATTAAGACAACCTTTTTCAGCATGGCAGAAACTTATGCTTGAACTGGCTGCAATAGTTAGTTTGCCAGAATTTCATTACAGCCTTTGCTAGTGCTTTACAGAATTTGGGAAGTTCTTCAGGTGCCCTCACCCACTGTGGTAGTTCAATCTGAATGGCATCAACAACACCAGAATGACAGGAGCCAAAATTCTTTGTTATGTATCCACCACTATAATAGTTCCCATTATTTGGGCTAGGATTGGATAGAGAAGGCACACAAACGTAACTGTTATTTTGTTCTTCAATATATTTACCCAAACTTCTGTTCCCTGCAAGCAGAGACTCGAAAGGCACACCAACTAGCTGACTGGCCAGATATCTAATGGAGGAATTTGATGCAGAGAAGACACCTGAGTTAAGAGAAGTTTTTGAAAGTGTATAACCTAATTCTATCCACTGCTCGGGATGTGCTTGTCCATGGATATCCAAAATCAGGCCCCCTGTCATCTGTGATTTTGCAGTAGTCAAAAATCCCATGTAATCCTCCCAGGCCTGTTCTGCTTGGGGGACTCTGAAGGAGGCCTCTTCCTTTTCCCTGTTGGCATCCATCTTGAACCTCTGTAAGTGGTTAATAACAGTATGTGGAAAGAAACCATCAGTAATTTTGTTGATTTCCTCAGCAAGAGCTTGAGCCACTTCTATAGTGTACCTGTCTTGTTTGGTAGATACTTTACAATTTATATAACTTTGAATGCTTCCAGGAGGACACACATGAGAGAAAATACAAGAAGATGTCTCTGCATCCCAACAGCCAGCCTCTCGGTCAGGGATGTCTTCAGGTTCCATTGACCCACCATGTGGGACAGAAAGGATAAGGTTCATGTTGCCCACTTGATACTCAGTGAAATGATTATGGCCAAATATAACTTCTCTGCTGCTAGTGGGTTTCAGAAGCAAATTTAGAATGGAAAGGAGGAACAGATACATAGTTTTCATTTTCTGCTGGAAGGCTCAGCAAAAAAGAATATGGCAGAACCTGCATAAAAGCAAAAGAGAAATTTTTGATTATTCACAAATGAAAATATGTGAGTGTAGAGTAGCTGCTACTATAAAAATTAGTTACTAATTAACCTATTCTACTTTAACTCCAAGTAGTACAAAGAATAAAAGTACTTTCAAGAGACGCAAAAAATGAACAGCGTACTTTGTGTGGCTAGATGTAATTGATGCAGTGTTTCCAAAAGAGTGGATTCTGTCAGAATAATAGAGCAATGGAAATAGTAGGTTATTGGGTCTCCTTTATTCCCTGAGAATGAACAAAGATTGATCACATCATCTGACCCTAGAGAATCACTAGATCTGAGCAAAATAATAAAAATAAACATTTTCCTAACTAAGCGTTCATTTTTTTTCAACCCTGAAACATTAAGAAAATTTGAAGGATCGTTTGAATCTCAATGACTTGAGTGAAGTATCTTTCCATTATCCACGTGCTTTCAAAACTAGAGGTTATGTCAGCTCAGACCATCTCTGTGTTTGTCTAAAATAGGCTGATAAAAATTGAGTGCTACTATGGTCTACCTCTCATTGTTCTCTAGGCTGAGTTACTCTAAAATCATCATACATAGACACAAGTCCATTATGGAGCAACTCTCTTTAGTTTTCAGGTTTCCTTTCTCTTCAAGAGAGCTAAGGTACTTCTAAGCTGTCAGTAAATATGACATTTTTTGGAAAGCTCTAATTCAGCAAGATACTAACGGTGCTTTCAGGTCTGAAGGCATCATATTAATAGAAAAACCAAAGTCTAGCACGTAATCATGTAAAATAAACAAAGCCAGTGAAAAGAAGAAGAAAAGGATACTTTCAATTTCATGAATTAAAAAAGCTTCACATAACATAGGCCAATTGAGGAGTTTGTAAATGAATACATTAATGTGTTGTGTTGTTGTCTGTCCTGCCTTTATCATCACACCACCCACAGAAATACAGAGGATATGAGGTGTAGCCATAGAAGAGAATGAAAAAGCTGAAGAACTGTAAGAATCTGCCTCCCAGACTTGGCCTGAGAGTATATATTACAGCAGCTGTATAGCTGCTATATGGAGCTTCCTTCCACTCCTGTGCCACATGTTTGTTCTCAAAAGGAGCAGCAACAATGAAGATATTCTACAACCTACACTTGACAAGCTGCCATAAAGTTTGTTTGTTTTAAAGGATCTTCAGTCATTACACTAGAGTTTCTAGCTTAAAATAAGCTTTTATCCACATCAGCACATTATTAATTCTTCTCTAGGTTTCCCCAAGACATAGGCTTTTATCTACTAGTTCACTGTCTGCATTACCAGAAATGTGAAGAAAAAAAAATTATTATTTAGAAACCCTTTTTATCAGAGAATCAGCCCACCTGCAAAAAGCAGCACAAGTGATCCACGTAAGTCTAGACATAGCTTACCTGAGGTACAGTGGGGCTCAACACCAAGTTAAGGAAGTCAATGCTTCGTAGGTGCTGATCAGCTGCCTTAGGAGTCAGGCTGCCTTTGCCTCTGATGTTCAGCTTAAATGTGGTGACACAGCTGTACCTTTCCCATCACCTGCCAAACCACTTTGTTTGCATCTCTGCAATTTCCTGTTAATGATTGAATCATGCTGTCAGCACTATTAGATCCTGTTTTAAAAATATCTGGATACGTAGCTCTGTATGATTCCCTAACTGGGAGAAAACCATGCAGGCTCAGACAGAGCAGAGGAAACTGGTGACTTCAGACTGGTTTATGGTTTTCTAGATAACACATAGGTACTGCAGAAGAAAAGTGTTAGTCACAGTAATACAGAGTAGAAGGGTATTTGGGGCTTTGTAGGAAAACACATCTTCCCAAGGGATTTGAACATTTGTTCTCCTCCAACAGAGGAACACCTGCAAGTAGGGAGGAATGTGCTGGAAAATTTACCTGTTTGTTGTCTTCTCCATAAGGAAGAGGTCCATGCAAATAAGAAATAATTGAACCCTGTAACAGGCTCCATATTGTAGATAAATGTACATTATTGCAAGGTTTAAAAAGTCTTCAGTACTTTAAACTGGTAGCAATTGCTGCAGGAGTATTTTGAAGATCTACCTACAAAGAAAGGGAGAGCAAGCTGTTCCTGATTCGGTGCCTTCAAAAGCAAAACTGAACTGACCACTGCGCTGGGTTTCACTCTGGACTCTGAACCAGCAGGTCTCTAGAGAGCAGGCCGAGTCCTGCAACTGCTGGCACAGAGACTTCTTCACCTGCGCTTCAGTGTATCATTTCACAATGCAGAGATCACAAAAGGAAAAATTATATATATGCTAATATACTACAGGCTCAGTGAACTTTTGTTCTCTGGACTGGCATCCATTTTTAGAGATCAAAACCAACTTGTCACAAGCACCATTGCCACATCACAACTCAGAAGAGCTGATGTAATTAGTAAAGATGAAAGTATGTGACTATTCTCAACCTTTTTGCCATCACTTAAATCTTTATTTCCTCCTAAAAAGAAATCATTAGGTAAAGCGTAACTAGCTACACTATTATTTCACTTGGAATCTGTTTGTGCCAATGATTCTGCCTTAAAAACACAAAAAAACAACCCTGAATCTGGGTATCTGGGAGGAGAGCTCCTCACAGCCAAGCATTACTGCCCAAGTATTCAAAATGAAGTTGCAGAACTCACAGCAGTGAGGCAGATGACCAAATCAAAACATTGGCAACACACTAGAATGGCAGACAGCAGGTTCCCACTGGCAGTAGGAATCACATAAATTATAGGTCAGTGCTCATTTCCATAGGATTACTCATGAACAGATTGCTTCAGCTATTTGCTGGCAACGTGGGTTCATGTTCTTTTGCTTTTGCTGGAAAAATCGAGGACACAGAGAGAAGGTCAGATGTTCTTGGCACTGACAGACATCTATTTCAAATACTTCTAAGCTGAGGTTGTTTTCCTTTTGACATCAGTGAGCTCCACAAGGTATTACCTAGCAGAACTGTCTTTACTCCACAACTGCATTCTCATGAAGTTGATGGGCACGGGTCTAACCTCAGCAGACTTCCACAAATAAAGTAAGATTTGCACGGGAATGGAATGTCAGAATCACATTCACTCATCTTTTCAATGCAAAATGATTCCATAAGCTGTGTGCACCCAGTAGTGAACAAATCGTGACCAGCCTAAATGCCAAACCTCTGATAATGAGGTAAATGTAACTGATGCAGGAAATTGATATGGCTTCTCTTTTGTTCTCCTCTATACCTGTTCAGAGGTCTGCACATGGCATTAGAAATTTAACAGTTGGCTGACTTTTGAAATATGGCCCAAGCTCTTGGTCTAGCTTGACTGCAGCAGGCATCTGTTACTATATTAACTTAGGTAATACAGGTTTTTAAAGACTTTACTAACGTTATTGAAATAATCTAAGATACTTTTAATAAATGCTAGTGCATAGCACCCACATACTCATGCAGACACACTTTTGTGAGATCCTTTTGTGATTCATTTCTAGAGGACATAACACAAAGAGGTTGCTTTGGGTGATCACACCGATCCCCAATTCCTTCCAAATCTTTAGATCTATTTGCAGCTTTTAGAGATTTAATGTAATCATGCTAACTCTTCAGCATGAAGGTATCTATCCTTTCAGATTAAGGAAGCAAAGAGAAAATTCTCAGTCAAGAATTGTGTGGTTCTGGTTTTCTTCAACAAAAGTTCCTCAATTTGTGTTTCTGACTCTGAGGTTCACCTTATGATTGTTTATAATCCCAGCTACAGAAAATAGTCAAAAGTAGATTTAATTGAATTCCGCATGGCGTTTAAATTGTATGCACATATTGTATGGTCTACCCTGGTTATCCTTCATCTCTGGAGCAGAATGGCTTAAGGAAAACAGAAATGTTAAAATTGATGTGAGAGCATATTTTTAAGATAAGTGCTCATAATTCAAATTTCAATTACGTTGAAAGTAGACAAGTAGTTGCAACACTAACACGTCAGGATGGCTTACATTACGTTGCAACACAAACATTGGGAAATGTAAAGATGTGCTCTGACTGGCTCAGGCTGGGCTCGTCCAGGATGAGAGCAGGATCTCACTGGGACACATCAGACACATCACGCAAGGATGAGACCATCTGATAGTTCATACCCACATGTGAAACACAAAAACGAGAATGCCCTTCAGCATGCTCTAAAGTGACTTTATGCTACTGTATTTGTAGTATTTATTGCACTTATGCTATCCCACAGGGCCAACACAGACAGAAACAAAGAATGGACTTGCAGTTAGCTGATTTTCATGTTTTGCAGAAATGGAAAACTTTATACGTAGAGATAATTCATTTCCTGATTGCAATTACAAAAGGACCAGATATCCAAACTCTGAATTGTGAAGTGAAATACAACATTTGATTCCTCCTCCGTCGCTGTAGAGCGCTATAGAGCCCCTCGCTGCCCCGGTTTGCAGGATGTGCAGACCACATGCCAGCTATCAAACTGCAGCTGATGCATTTAACGTGTCAAATAGGCAGCATGAGATAATGCAGCTGTATTAGCAGATGGTTACGTAACAAGTCACTCCCACGCACGAGATGTCCAAAACCATTAACTAGATCTCTGAAACCCTGCAGCTACCGCATTTAAGTTCTCTTTTCATCTCTCCGATCTTTAGCTCCTCTAGTTTCTTTGCATGTAAGCACTGTAAGAAAGCAACAGACACAAATGCAGCCTATGGTGGATTTTCTGCTACGTGTATTTCTTTTTTAATTCACAGCTCTCAGAAACCTTTCTCTATGCACCACGGTACAGATGCGACGGAGTAGCAGGGATACAAACACAGAACCGAAAAGAAGCGCTGAATGCCGCAGGTGGCATAGCCCTTACGAGGCACTGACCGCCGTTCTCCCAGCCAGCAGCGCGGCGGTTCCGAGCCGCTCCCGGCGGGAAGCACAGCAACGCGCGGCACTCCCAGCGCGCGGAAACAAAACCCCCCACACAGCCACGCCCGGGGCCAGGCGCGGGGATTCGAAGGCGGCAGAGGAGCTCAGCGCCGCCCAATCAAAATGGCGCGGCACCGAGACCCGCCCTCCTGTACAGGGCAGAGCGACCTGCCGCACCGCTGCCATTTGCCCGCGCGGAGCACGCTGGGATTTGTAGTCCGTTCCGGGGGCGGGGCCACGGCGCAGAGCGCGCGCTGCTTGAAAGCCCCGAGGCGGCGGTCGCGCGCTACGGCTGAGCGCGGCTTGGGGCAGCGGAGCGGGGCAGCGCTTGGCCTCTCTTCTCCCCAGCTCCCCTCAGCGAAGTAGCGGCGCGCGGGGTTGTGGCCGTTGGGGACCGTTGTCCCGCTCTCTTCTCGCCCCCTCCCAGGCAGCGGTGGTGTGGGCCGAGGTAGGGGCGGCGGCGGCGGGGTGGCCGCCTCGGCCTTGTCGTCCTTAATCGGGCGCTCGAAAGCTCCCCGTCGACTTGAAGGGCTGGGTGGAGGATTGCGGGCGGGCTCGATGGCAGCCCTTTCCGAACGCGGGGCTGAGCTGAGGGTGCGTTAATGCCACGCGTTTTTCCTCCTGCAGCCGCGCTATGGGCATTCAGGGGCTGCTGCAGTTCATCAAGGAGGCCGCGGAGCCCGGCCACGTGAAGAAGTACCGCGGGCAGGCGGTGGCGGTGGACGCGTACTGCTGGCTGCACAAAGGCTCCTATGGCTGCGCAGAGAAGCTGGCCAGGGGAGAGCCGACGGACCAGTAAGTCACGGGAACATCTCTTTCCGGGCCCTTCCACGGGCTGAGGTCTCGTTGGTCTGGGTGTTCTTGAGTTAAAAGTGAAGTTAAAGCAGTTTCAGCTCGGTTCTGACAGACACATGCCTCCCTCTTTGAGCAATTTCTTGCACTGATTTTTTTTCACTTATTTTTTTCGCTTGGCTTGTTACATTTTTAGTAACAGTAGCTCTTTGCCTGCAACATGGATTCTTCCCTCAGTAGCCTCATGTCTAAGAAAGGACACAAAAACCGTGGCTGTGCTGCAAGTCCTGCTTTGCAGCGTAGGTCAGGTTGGCACAGATTCTTGTCCTTTGTCCTATCCTTAAAAAGTCGAGTTGAGCTCTTGTTTTAGATTGTCATCTGAAATGTTTTTCCTCCTTTCTCTTTAGAAATAAAAATACTAGCCAGTCTGGGCTAAGCTTCATTCATGGGATTTTGATTAAGTGTTTGGCTGGAGACAAAAGAGCACTGATTACAAATTGATTCAAAACTTTAATTCCTGCTTCTGATGGGGAGAACTGCAGAGTTTCATTCAGCTCTGCTGCTTGTCTTTGAAAATAGTGGAAATCCTTTGGAATTCTGAGAAATTATGTATTTTTAAATGAATTAAAAAGAAGGCGGGGAAACATGACACATCAGTGGGAGCTTTAGGGTGATTGAACTTCTGAACTATATCTATTTTATGAGGGGGGGGAAAAATCTATCTTTGTGGACGTATGGTCATTAATCTTAGATAGGCTCTTCAATAATAATGTAGAGATCCCCTCCCTGCTTTAAAAAGCGTCTGAATAATTTTACAGAATATTGAATAACTTGCTGTTAAGTGTTAGTTGCGTGCCACTGATGAAATGAGCCTGTTGTACAGGTCCACAGAACTAACAGGTGAGGAAACGAGAGGTCTGAGGAAGTACGCAAGGTCTGGAATACCTGCAAATATTTTTACTTAAGGTTGGTCTGTGCAAGCAGTGGAGGATTGCCTCCTGGTCTGTGCTCTACTTCTAGTGCAGTTTGGGTAACTGTCCTATCTCTGAATGTTTTCAGTAGCGTGCCTGTATGCTTAAGGTGGGAGGATATATTTACGTGTCTGTCTGTTAGCACATACTCATCAGCTGAGAATTGGATAGTTCCCTGGCTAGAGGCTTTATACCCCATTGCTCTATAAAAATGCACTCAATGAAACTTTTTAAAGTCTCCAGGGAAAGATAATGTAGAGCATTTGCAATCTATTGTAGCAGAGTCAGCTGAATGCTGCTTGAATTTTTAGTGCATTTTGTGCAAAAATAGAGCTTGGTAGGCTCAGACCTAAGCTGGGAGGTGAAGCATTTATTTATTAAAAAAGGGCATTCATGTGTTCTTAATCTTTCTGTGATACAGGAAAGATGTAAGGCCTGTTAAGATCCCTGATCAATGAAAAGTTTTTGTTTTTTTCCCCTCTTGTTGCTGACACAGTTATGTAGCTTTCTGCATGAAACTTGTTGATATGCTCCTCTCATTCGGAATTAAACCGATTTTGGTATTTGATGGATGCACCCTACCTTCTAAAAAGGAAGTAGAGAAGGCCCGAAGAGAGTAAGTATTGATTTGCCAGCACAGCAGTATGTTTAACACCACAGTCCATTTTCAGATTTGGAAAAATTTCAAACTTGTTAGGCAGTGATCTTTGGTCATCTTTTCCTGTAACTTAGTTTAATTTCACTGAATTTACATTTAAAATTGTACAAACATCTTCTTAGAGATTTCATTCCAAAAATAGAAATGTGCTTAATAAATGAAAGTACTTTTAGAGAGGAAGGAAGTAAACTATTGAGCACTATATCCTGTAATGTGTTAAAGCCTTTCAGTTCACTCCAGCTGATTGATCTCTGTGGACAAAAATATTCTTACATAATATAACTTCATTTAAAATTAATGCCACCTTCCTTATCATTCTCTTCAAATAAACAGCTAGAATTACTTCAGCTTTGGATTCGAGTCCTATGTAACTGTACATCTTGCTGAAGCTCTGAGAATTTCTTATTAAATGTTGCTGTTTATCAGTTATCATGGATCATATATTTTCTTGAGTATGGTGCAAACCATTTTTAATATTTGAAATGAAGTAAATAATGCCTTCTCTTCTGTAAATCAGTGAGCATCAGATGCTCTAGAAATCCATTACACTTATTTTACTGCATCCTGATTATGAATTCAACTCTTCTCTTTCACTGCTGGTTTCAGTTGGAGTTGTTGCTTTTTTCTCACTGTGTATTTCACTATGCCAATCTGGTTGTCTTTTGTTGATGTGGTGGCTTGCAGTTATTCTGATATTTGGAATTTTACACGGTAGAATGGATTTGGGGCACATTTAACCGCAACACAGCTTGCCTGCTTTTCTCTATCTCCTGGTCCTTTGTAATACTTGTTCTTTTAAGTGGGGGGGGTTGGGGGGAGGGAGGAAAAAACCAACAGTGTGGTCAATGGATATTTTTCTTTCAGGAAGCGACAAGCCAATCTTCTGAAAGGAAAGCAGTTGTTTCGGGAAGGGAAATTTTCAGAAGCAAGGGACTGTTTTGCTCGCAGTGTGAATGTTACACATGCTATGGCTCACGAAGTCATTAAAGTAAGTTGTCAGAGCTGCTGAGATGAACAGTATCAAATGAAAAAATCAATGCAGTAAGTCTGTAAGCATGCTTTACTCTGCTTTGGTACAACTACAGTGCTACCTTGTCTACGTAGGAAAGAAAAATATTCCCTGTACTTCCTCTTCTTAATCTACATCATACATTGGATCATGTTAGACATGGGTAACTTCACTTCGGATTTATTGTGCCCGACTGTTTAAATAATAGTGATTTGTCAGCTTAAATACAGCACTTTTAAAATCCATGAACTGACTTAAGTAGCATCTTGAATTTTCAAAATTACTTAGATACCCACCTCAACTAAGTTCCTGGAATAAATTCTTGCTTCTTAAAAACCTTTCCAGGTTCCCTTGCGTTCTTCCACTGCTATAGGAAAAATTGCTTTGTTTTCTTCGAAGAGAGTGTACTGTGCAGGAGTGTGAAGCATGCTGCTGTGATCAGCGTGTACACTGTTACATGCCAGCACAGGAGAGGCTGTTTTGTCAACCATCCTTAAAATTCCTTGAAACTTGGGTTTTAAATGTGAAAGTTAGGACTTCAAGATTGGGGAGGTGGGGGGGAAAAAAAAGGAGCAGGTGGGGGATATAGGTAAATAAAGAAAATGGTTATTAAATACTTGTGTGTTTCCTGTTTGTGTACAGGCTGCACGAGCCCGAGGAGTTGATTGTATTGTTGCTCCCTATGAAGCTGATGCTCAGTTGGCTTACCTTAATAAGACTGGTGTGGTTCAGGCCATCATTACAGAAGATTCTGATCTTTTAGCTTTTGGATGTAAAAAGGTATAGAAGAAAATGCTAATAGCCCTTACTTCTCAGTGATATCTTAAAAGCAGAGTTGAAAGTTGCTAAATGTGTTTGACTTAGTTTGTTACAATAATTTGTGAAAATTGAAAGCACACGCCTCTATTATTTCTGCTAAGTGCAATAAGCTAGCATATGTACAAATAGAACAAGGAGCCTATATTGGTAAACATTATTTTTTCCTCTGCATTTCCAGGTGTTTTTGAAAATTGACAAATTTGGAAATGGATTGGAGATAGATCAAGCTCGGCTAGGAAACTGCAAGCACCTCGGAAATATATTCACTGAAGAGAAGTTCCGTTATATGTGTATTCTGTCTGGTTGTGACTACCTCTCATCAATCCATGGAATTGGGTTAGCTAAAGCATGCAAGTTACTAAAATTAGCTAACAATCCAGATATTATAAAGGTAATATTGATTGTAGCTTTGTGTTGGCTATTTGGGAGCTTATGTCTCTGTATATAAAGCACTGAATTGAAAATGTGAGTGCTTCTTAGCTTTCTCTGTTCTGAGAAGAATGGTCTAAAGTATTTTGACCTGTCCTATAGATATTTATTGGTTGGACAAGAAGACTTCATGAAGTGTTGGCTTGTGCTATAAAAGAATGGAGAAAACAACGCACAAGGCTATTTTTCTTGCTTTATCTCTCCTGTTTAAGCTGATCTTTGTAACAGAATGTGTTCTACATTTAATGACAAATGAAAATAACTTATAATTGAAAAGTAAATACTTTTTATTACTTGAGTTTTTTGAAAAAACTGTTTCTTCTCTTCACATTATATTTCTATTACTTGCTGAAATAGAAATTCTGATTACTCCAAGCCCTTCAGTCCTTAATTAATACTTCTGAAGGCAAACATGGAGTTCTGTTATTTGTTCAAAAGCAACAGTTAATTTTTTCTTTTTGAACAGGTTATTAAGAAAATGGGGCACTACTTGAAGATGAATATAACTGTATCAGAAGAATACATACAGGGTTTCACACGAGCCAATAATACATTCCTTTATCAGTTGGTTTTTGATCCCATCAAGAGAAAACTAGTTCCTCTGAATGATTATGCTGATGATATTGATCCAGAAACGCTAATTTATGCAGGACGGTATCCTTTTGGTATTGAAACTGAGAAAATTCAATGTGAACAGTTGTGGTGTCTTGCATTGTTTTTCACTGCACTTCTACTATTGGTTAAATCCTGCTTTCTTTGCAGCATTATAAATTATGGAAGCACAGGAAAGTGTTTTTTTTTTTTTTTTTTTTTTTTTTTTTTTTTTTAGCACAGTGGATAACTGAATAATAAAAAATGACCTATCATTTTATGTAGCTGCTATTTCCTTTTATAGATAATAACTCCTAAGTACAGGTTATTCTTCAACTGTTTGAGTTGTTTCATGGCTTAGTTTGTGCCTGTGTTCTGTGTTGTAATCTCTATCACTTTAATTCTTGCTATGAATTTATAATCTAAACATTCCCAGTTTTAACAGATTTATCTCCCTACAAAATAAGTGCAGTTTTGATACTTGTAATAAATTTCAGCATGGAAAATGAAGAGAACAAAGAGAGGACTGGTTAAGTAGTTGCTAGCTTTGTATGTTCTTCAAGCTAGCTACTATCTGTCATTTCCAGATGCCAGAAAGGAGAAAGATGATGATGGAGAAAGATGATGATTTTCTAGTGACTTGTATTTAATGATTGAATGATTACCTTTAGGCTTGCTTAGTTTGCCAAGCACTGCAGATACATTGACTTGTCACATCATATTGAACCATAACTATTAGTATCTATATATGGTTAATCACAAATTCAGAAATAGCTGTTCTAACTTCACTGCTACAGTTCATTTATTGCACTATTAAGATATATTTTCCTTTAATATGATGGCTACAGACACTTTGGAGATAGTACTGGTTTTCAAATTGCCCTTGGGAACATTGATATTGATACGATGGAACAAATTGATAACTATAACCCTGATACTGCACAGGTAACACCTTTGTTCTAAAGCTACATACTGAGATAATAACACAGGTTTGAATGCTGATGGAAGAGTACAGCTGATTGTTATTCCTAACTGACTTGTCAGTGAAAGCTATTCTGCTAATACAGAAACTGTATGTTCTTGGAATTGTATGAAGGAGTATGATACAAAGAGCAATCCAGTGTAAAACTCTTTTATTAATATTCCACTCAGAGTCAGAATTTAATTCTTTGAAGTACAAGTGACATCTAGTCTACAAACTTCTGCAGCACACAAAAGTAGTTACTGAAAACAAACCAGTAGTTACTGTTGTGGCTTTACAACTCATCTAGTTATTAAAGAGACCACCAGGTAATGCCAGATGCTGATGCATTCAGGCAGTGCCATAAATTCTAATCCAGGAAAAGGATCTTACATAAAGTTAACTGTGTTTATGGCACTTGAGAACTGAAATTTCGGTTTTTAACAGTCAAAACCAGTAGAGCCCTTTAGAGGATCTCATCTAAAAGATGCTGGAAAATATAAATACAGAAGCATGGTTTTTAGAGCCATTGTTTTCTGACTGACTGTAGTTCTGATAATACATGCCTTCCAACTCCTTCTCTGGCTGTAGTCCTTTCTAGTTGTTGGTCTTCTGCATTGCTGTGCTTATTTTGACAGTGGCACAATGGTCTGTGGTCACTTTCCTATCCTGGTGTTTCGTAACTCTTCACTTTACTTCAAATCCTTTGCATTTTCCAAAAAAGTAAGCAGGAAAACACTGTGACCTAGATGGCCCTTGAACACATTAAACACCAACTAAAATAGTGAAAAGAAAGAAATGATTTGGCTACACTTGGAATTATCCTCACTGTTTTCTTCCATCATGTGCTACTTGCTTCTGATCTAAAATTATAAAATAACTTACATAGGTAAATAGTTGTGCAACCAAGAGCGTGCATTTGCAGAGTTAAATCTTCTGTGTTACTTGGTGTGCTTTCTGTTTCATGGGGTTTTTTTCCTTAATTTTTTAATGGGCGTGTTAGTAAACATAAGTATGGATAGACATAGGAACAAATTATTTCCTGGTGAATAGGAAGTTGTGCGACATGTGAGGCATGAGGGGTTTTCTTTCCTTTCCTGACATGGCTGCATTCATTTAAGTCACAGCAGAGGCTTGAACTAAGTTATGCTGGCTAAATGTTGGTATCAGGGTATCCAGAGAAGATGGCCCTGAATTAGGTGACCTGTAGCATACAAACCCTTAGTTCTCACTCTCTGTACAAGTAGAACCTCACTTCTTAGAGCATCTGACTGTCTTTTTTTGACTGTTTTACTTCCACCCTTCTTCGGTAAGTCCTTAATCCTGTTTACTGAAGTAACTAATTAAGATTTTTTTTGGGAACTGACTTGGAGTATATTTTTTTCTAAGTAAATTCAACTATGAGGAAAACATTTTCCAAAATCATTCTACTGAATATAGGTAATAATTAAGCCTTTAATTTTGAGAAGAGCAGTTAGCCACTGACGCCGTATTGGAATGAAGAAGTCATGGCAGCACAGATGAAAAAGAATTTGTCAGGGAAGCATAAGAAATATAGGAACAAAATGGAAGCGTTTCTGTGGAATGGACATGTCAACAATGGGTTTGTGTCAAAATGCTCTTATGCTAAATGAGGAAATCTTATTTAGAAGGCAAATTTATGAGCCTGTTTCTCATTTCTAATTTTTCTATAGCCTACACAGCAAAGAAGCCATGGCTGGAATGACAAACGTGCTAATCATGTAAATAGTATTTGGAGCAAAGACTACAAGCTTGGCCCTAGTACAGATGATGTTCCTCATACAACTCACTTACCAGAGAAATCAACAACGAAAGGCATTGAGAAGATAATCAGTATCAAAGGGTTAAATCTTCCAGGCAAAGAGCTCTTTGCAAAAAGACAAAGGAGTGGTATGTTTCTAAGTAACAACAGAAGATTGTATTAAAGATTTTACCATATTATAAAATACTGTCCATTTCAATTTTGAGATTCAATTCTTAAAAATGGAGAAAAGTGTGCTAGATATTTTGTGGTTTAACTTCTATCTTATTGTTGCATGTGAAGAAATGGAAATAGTCTATCAGAGAGCTGAGGTCTGGCCACTGTGCTTCACCTGATATGTTTTTCTCTGTATTTCTTCTTTTGCACCCTTATTTCTGTTCACGCTACCAGGATTTCATTTTCACCTTTGTTTCTCTTGACAGTCTTCCTACTCTTTAATTTATCAAAAATTTTAATTAGTTTACTAGACACATACCTTCTAGCTTTTAGTGAACTTTGATTTCATGGTGTTGAAACCATAATACGTGCTCCTCTTAGTCTCAACTGTTAGGTCCTCCTTTCATCTACCTTTCTAAAGTTTCTTTAAGCTTATGTAATGCAAAGTAACAGTAAAAGCAAGTTCTGAACCATAATGTCAAGAACACTTCTTAAGGCAGTAGGGATAAATAATGTTCATTTCTCTCATAACTGGTTAGTTCTAGAACAAGCTTCTTCAGTGATTCTTAAACTGTCTTTAGATTTAGAAGAACTCTCAGATGGAGATCTGTTGAATCAATATTCATTTTCGAAAGCGAAAAAATTCAAGGAGAGTGGTGAAGATGGTCAATCACAGAAGAGCATTTCTGCAATAGAAAACATTGATTCTTCAGGGAATTCTGTTATTAAAGAAAGCTCTAACTCTCTGCCCAGAGTTAGAAATAAATTTGCTTCCTTTCTGCAAAGGAAAAACAAACAGACAGATGCTGTGATTGTTCCAGGAACAAGAAGCAGGTACGCTTGCGTCACGTGTTCCAATGAATAGCAAGATAGCATTTGGTATCATGGCTACTGAAATAATGTGTATACTGAGAGGATACTTTAGGTTTTTTTATGTATCAATGTACTTGTGTGTATGTATCAATGCACTTGTTGTAGCTGAGATGGGCAACTTCTTGTGCTAAACATGCAATATGGGATGCATAGGTAGGTAAATGCCTGGTACTTTTCTTAACTGCAGAAATGAAGGCTGTGACACAACCCAATATAGTCTAGTCTCTACATATCAATTATCAAGGTGTTGGCCATGCTTCATTTTCATATGACAACTCATCAAAAAAAAAAAATGTAAACGAGAAAAAAAGAATAAAGCTGCCTTAGCCAAATAAATAAGCAGCACTTGTATACTGACTTATCTTTACTGAGGTTTTTGCTTACATGTTTCAATAAAGGAGTACCAGCCAGTATAACCAGGTACAGCACTTCTTACCCAATTCCCTTCGGATCATGTTTCTTATTTCTCCAATGACAGTTTAAGAAAAAAGACTTTGAGTTTCTCAGATTTTTAGTTTGTTGCATTTGACCACAGCTATTTCAACTGCTTTTTACAAATAAGTGTCACAGATCTGTCTTTTTTTTTTTTTTTTTTTTTTTTTTACCTTGAATAATTTGAAGATTTGTGTGTGAGAGAGGTATAATTTTATAAAACAATCTGAATATCGATATTTTTTTAACTCATATCTTCCGTAAGTTAGAGGTTCAGTTTAATTAAAAAGAGTTGTTAGTGATGGCAGGCTTTTCTCCAAATGAAAGCTCAGCTTGTATCAAGTAGAAGGGAGGAAATTTGACTAGTACCCATCCTTAAGAGCTGCTCCTATAGCACAAAAAGAGCTGGATAGATTTTAGATTTCTCAATAAGAGCTTAATTATCATTTAAATATCAATTAATATTTATCATAATATTTTTCTTTAATTTTGTATAATTTCTAGTTCCTTTCAGAAGGAGGGCCTATCATTATTCTTAGTCGATGAATGACATGCTTACAGGTGCTTGTTTTTTCCATTGAAACAGTAAAATTATTTTGTGTTGTCTTTTAAATGCCTTCATGAGGGACTGGAGAAGTAAAACCATGGTGATTTGCCCATGGTCAAAACAATCTGTCTTTCAAATGCATTTCAAAAATCAAATTGATGGATAAGGTTTTGGAGATGAAATACTTGCAGTTACTTTTCTGTTGCTTTCAACTTCATTTTTCTTTTAATTTTTTAGATTTTTCTGCAATGATGCAGATATGTTTGGTTTTAAAGGAAAGGATGAGAGTGATATAATTCAAGATGTTGAGGAGGATTGCAAGCAACAGGAGGTAGAACATGTAGCTGAAGATGAATCTCCATTTTTAGAAACTGAAAAAACAAAGACTGTCTCATCAGTTCCTGGAGAAAGACCAAGAAGTTGCTTCCAGTGGCTTAGCATCCTTGGAAATCATTCAGGAAATCCTGGTCCATCTCATACTGTATTCTCACAGCAGTTTCACCAACAGAGAAGCAGCTGTATGGCATCTCAGGAAGATAACAGTAATGGGGTACAAGCAGAGACTGAAGCCATGTGTGGTGAATCAGATGAAGAATCCTCTCCCTTAATAGAACCACAGTGTTTCTCCCAGTCTCAAAAGTCTTTTGAGCCACCAGAATGCAGGTTGGAGTCTTCAAAAATACTACAGGTATCTAACAATAATTCTTACACAAAAGTAAGAAAACTAGATATTTCAACCTTTTCTTATGTTTTCTATCTCAAAGATAAAAATTAAGTTGTGAGGTTCTCCTTCTTTGATTTATACCCTGTGGATTATAGAACTTCTACTCGCAAAACTTTTTGGTGTTTGTTGCTGTTGTGTAGTATGAATTGACTTAGTAGCTTAAATCAAGTCTATTCTTCCCTTCTCCTCACTCCCCCCAGTCTTTTCACTGCTGTTACTGCAATGAGTTTTAACACTACAGTTGTAGGCTACCTTTTGTTCTCTGCTTTAAGTCCATGAAGAAGTCCTCTGAGAGAACCAGTGTCTCAAGCTGGTGTTCTCCTTGAAAATATACTAAGGATTTCATGTAGTTTCTTAAAATTGCTGAAAATTTACTTTATAGGTAATTCGATATAAAAACTTTATACACAGTGTAGAAAGGTGTTTTGAAAGCGAAATTATTTTTTCTTTGAAGGAATCTGACTCCAATTTAAGACTGTTTGATAACCAATGTACTCAGAGGTCTCCAGTATTTTCTGCTGTTCGAACTGACAGAAAGAATATGGTAGCAAAGATCAAGGTAAGGATTCCTTTAATTTTACTACTAGTTCTACTGAACTCTGAAAATGAGTTTTCACAGCCTAATAGTTTGTTCTAAGTCTTTCCATGCAACAATGTGCCTGCTAGCAAGAGAAAATTGCTTTCTTACTCATCTTTATCAGAGCCAAGGTGAAATATATGCAGTCTCCCTATGACTAGCGTGGTTGCAACTTGCTTAGTAAGAAGCAGCTAACTCAAAAAGCTCACTTTATTTTCCTCTGGAATGCTAAAAATGTAAGTTTTACGATGCAAATTGCAGTCATTTTAGGCAGTCACAAGATAAATCTCATTTCATTGCTTGTGCGGATGAGTCCACTAGTTCAGCAGCTTCCTGCCCTTCTAAAAGAAAAAGTTTTTTAACTTAGAAACCTGAAAAAGTTTTAACTAAGCACGTTTCTTTACTTGTTTTTGGCGTTATTTGACATTTGACTACTCAAGAATAGCCAGCTTCCCTTCACAGACCACGTTTTGGTTACTTTTCCTGTTGAGTGCCAGTAACTTGTCTTCTATGTGGTATCTTACACGTCTAAGAATGAACTTGCATTCCCTGTCTTCATGGCACTTTTAAGAGCTGTACCTGTCTACACAGCTTCTGGAACCGTAACATCTGGTGGTACTTTAATTCCTTAGGCATTGTCATTAAAACTGGCTAAAAGATTCAAAAGTCAAGGGAAGATGCTTTTGTTCTCTCATGTACACCCCTACTTGTTTCTTTCCCATCCACCATGAGAAGAAATATCAGAAGCTTCTTTGCAAAGCACAAGTACTGTGTGTGTTATATGATAGTGACATCTTGTGGTCATCCTCATAGTTTCTATGTTAAAGATTTAAATTCCAGCTTCATTCTGGAAGACCTGTTTATGAAAACTAGTGCTTGCTCATTAGAATAACACTTTACCTGCTTCTCTTCAACAAAACTAAGCCACGAACTGAACTCATCTTGAGATTGGAGTTATGTGACTATTTCTAATAATGTTTAGTATGGTTTGCTTAAAGAATAAGTTCTTGCATTAAAGATATTTGGAGAATTAATGTTTTAAATATTGGGGAATTCTTGGTGTGTGGGGATGCAGAGGTGTAGTATGAATGTCATTTGAGCATATCTTCAGGATGTTGTGCTGCCCAAGGAGCACCAATTTCTGCTGGAAGTTCACAATGTTACTCGAAAGCAAGCTGCTGAGATTTTGTCCTCCTTATTTCCTTAGCTGTGCATTTGCTCTGCTACCTTTATGAGCTGGCAACAGAAAAAATCTGAGACAAGAAAACTGATCTGAAAAAAAAGTAACTCAGCAGTAAAACCCAAGAGGTCGTATTCAGATTGGTTAGTTTGGCTCACTCACAAGCTCTTGTGAGTCCTCTCAGTGGAGGTGCAACTGGAACAAATTACTACTAGTGAAGCTATGAGGTGGAGATGAAGAATGCTGCTACCGGCTCAGTTTCTCCTTAGATTTGCCCGCTGGAAGTGTAAGAGAAGGAAGATCTTTGTTTACCCTAGAATGTAATGAAATGAATAGTGAGTTCTGAGTATATCATAGAAGAATTTGATCACCAAAAAAAAAATTCAGATTTTTTTTTTTTTTTGAGTTGAATAACATAGATGGTCTGTAGAGAAGCCTAATAATTTAGGGAGGCACCCTGGGGAAGGCATTGGCTTTTGTTGTGATTCCAATCTAGGTTGTTGTGTCAATAGCTGGTCGATTCTAATATCAAAGCTTATAGAAGCTTGTCACTAATCAATGCCTGCATACAAGTTCTCGAGGACCTTGTCATTTCTATGAGGGCATCCCAGCTGTGTGGTTTTTCAGCTCGTTATTTCCCCACAAGTTAATGTGAGCTCAATAAAGAAGCTAACGTTGGCAAAATGAAAAGAAAGCAATCAACTCTCATTTTGTTTCTTAGTGTGTATTGGACATGCATCTTTGCCTAATTTTTAGTTAGCTAATTTAACTTGTAGCTGTGACATGCTTCGATATCATAAAAATAAAAGATATATTTTGTAGAATGGCTGAAGTGATAAAAAGCATAGAAATTACAAAGCAAAAGCTTTTAGGATTTATTTTTATTCATCTCAGTACTTTCCTTCCAAGTACAAACACTCAACATGTTTTTTTCTTTTTCCCCAAATCCTATTTGGTATTCAAAAATATATACAGTTCATTCAGGTAGAAACAATGTCATTTTAACTAAAAGGAAACCATATATGATGTGTGTGTTGTGGGAGTGTGGGATGAAACAGTGTCACTTTAGGAAGAAATGATGTAGGTGATCTTTGAAGAAGACTTCATCTATTGTATATTAAAAAAAAAAAGGGGTGATAAATAGCAAATAACTTTCCTCTCATTCAAGTATTTGCATTATCTAACTGAAGCACCTGAAGTAGGCAGAGGTGTGCTGTCTTCCATAAATGCTCTAAACTAATTATTTGTTTTTGATCAAAATTCTTCCATCATCACATCCGGATGGGAAAACTATTGGCACTGTATGCAGCCTACATGTCCTAAACTCTAATCTTATATAGCCAACTGTAAAATAAATAACATACAATTTTTACATCAATGGACAGTCACCATTTCCTCTGCAGCTACTGTATTGTATTTTAATTACTATATTTTGGTCCTCATCATAACAAGCTGCAAGTAGCAGGAAGGCTCAACTAATAAATCATTCCTCTAGTGCTTCAGTAGGCTGCTTCCACAAAAACTGGGGAAAACTAAGCATACATAAAAAAACAAGAATATATGTAGGCCATTTGTTAACGTTTCACTAAGGAAGTTTTAACTTCTCACACATTGGGTTGTTGTGCTATGATTATACATACATATGTAGCACAAATGGAAAGTGATAAAATAGATAACAATAGTTTTAGGTTTTATTTTATGAAATGTGTTAATTTACATGCAGGCAAGAAAGACAAGTCTAGCTCATTAGTATGAAGTGTATTTCTATTGTCAAAATAAAATTAGTAATCTTTGTGCATGAAGTTCTGTAAGGAGAGGGGAGGTGGAAATCATCATCTTGTGTCAGTATTGAAAGGAATGGGAGCAGCTACAGTCAGCCTGACAATGACCCTAGAAAACTGACAGATCATGGTTGGGGATGAGATGAAATATAAATCTCTCACCAACGTGGCTGGGTACTGTATAATGTCAAAACCACTTTCACATATTTTAAATATCAAGAAACAGAATTAGTGTTTGGACACTGGTGAGGGAATTAGAAACTGGATACATGTTTTTAATTATAAGAATGTCTAGAATAATCTAACAAAGGAAGAATGTAACTTTCTTGGTGTCTTCAAACTTGAGACTGGTTGCCTTTAAGATGTGTTCTGGCTGAACACAACTACTTTGAGTTCCAGGTATGGAAGGTCCCACTAGAGGCACAATCCTTGGGTTAATTGCACTGATATCTTTTCTCTACTTGTATTTCATGACAAATTGAATTGTAGGTATCCTAGAGAGTGATACCAGATCGCAACTTCTCTGAAATGAGAAAGTAGACCTGGAAAGTTTTTCTTGAGTTCCCATTTGAATAGATGAGGAAACAAGAATTCAATAAACTTTTACAACCGCATTCCAAAGAAGAATAGTTTTACAGCTATTTAAGATGCAAAGATATACAGAAGCTGGTTCATCAGTTCTCACAGTTGCATTAGCTCCATGTGAGATGAAGATTTTGGGGTTAGAGAAGCTGTCTAAATATACTCTTGGGGAAATCATATTGCATTAACTTTACACAATGTAATGCACTTTTTAATTAAACACTTAATAACAGATTATGCTGCTTGTAGGTTTTTATTTTAATCATTAATACTCCGGTATTGAAAATGCTACAGGTTCCTGGTTTACGCAAATCCAGTTCTGTGGGGTCGCATATTGTGACAAAACTGAAGCCATTGATACCAGCTAAAGCAAGTGGATTAAGTAAGAAACTGTCTCCTGTGCAGAAAAGGAATCACTGCGATGCTGAAAATAAGTTGGGACTACAAGCCACCATTGGTGAACTCTGGAGAAACTTCCAGTTTAAAAGGTGAGATGCTTTAACCCTTTACTTAAAGCCTTTGTAAAGCTTTGAAAAAATCTTCAGGAAATAAGTGCTGAATTTTTGGGAGGAAACAAGAACATCTTCAGATATATATTTCTACACTCAGTTCTTCATATCCTAGGCAGATTTACTTTTTTGTTGTTTAGTGTAGCCATGAGTTATAATTTCGAGTAAATATACTTTCTACTTCTAATTACGTTTTTCATACTAACCAGAAAGAACTCTCAGCTAAAATCAATTTATTTGAAGTGGTGCACTTATTATAATGTAATTTATATGAAAGTTATTGCCACTTTACATCAAATATTAAAAGTCATTTCTTAGCTCAGATACAAAAGCAGCCTAGAAGTTGCCAAACTTGATTGAAAGCACACTGGTTTTATTTAACTTTGATTGCCTCTCACACTTCAAAGTTGCTGTTTGTTACATCTGTTTTCTTCTCAAAATGGTGGTGAAATGATGAAGGATTGCTAAAGAAAGTCTCTGTTTGTGAGATACTTTACTGCTTTGGACACTAGAAAATGCTATTTTCCCATGTGTGGATGATTCATTTTCCTATAATAACAGAAATGGTAATATTAAATGTAGGTATTTTGTCTTACGCTGTTTCCATTTGGGATTGAGTTAAAACTCCTGATGGCAAAACTGTCCTAGTTTCAACTACCTCTTTCAACTTGAAGTATTTTTTTTTTTTTTAAAGTGAATTTCTTCATTCTCATTAACATGAAGCAGATTGTGAAGGGACTTCACCTGCACTGAGAAGATGAATACTTTAACTTTGGGGAAAAAAAAATCTGATAAGTTCTGTAGATACCAACACAGAAAACATTAGTACTTCAGAGTTGTGTGTTGATCTGAACTGATATTTAAATTATTTCACTCTTATTGTGCAGATGTCTCTTATTTGTAAGAAAAAGAAACTGAAATGCAATTAGTATGAAAAAGAGACTCAGCCTGTGTGTTAAGTCTGAATAACTAGTCAGTAAGTTTGGGCCTGATGTAGGTTATAGTAAGTTGACAGCTGTTTTCTGTTCAAAAGCATATTACTTCTGGTACTAACATTTTTAGAAATCGTATTTATTATCCTTTTGATGCTGATTAAGAGCTAGTTTCAAAGGGGTATTTGACAATGTTTATATATGTATTGCTTGGCTTCCAATTGGGAATGTCTGACCAGGATTGTTAGAGAATCGCGTGTTTTCATTTATTGGAATGCAGACATAATAAGATAGTGAGCCTAATAGCACTGACACTGTGCTCCTTTACTGTGCCGGTGGTTTTAAGACTTAAGCCCTAACATTCACATATTTATCCACATTTTTTCTGGTCTGTAACTTCTGGGGGTATACCAGAAATATATATTTTGAATGTATTACCTAATTTTATGGAATTAAAATAGCTGTTTCTTAGTTTAAGGGATGTTGTTTGTAAATTGTTTCTCAAAAAAGTTTTCCCTCCTAAGGGCTGGCTTGGATCTGAGTGCTCTGCTCACTGTTTTTTCAGATTTAAGTGATCTACTGAAATTGACTACAGGCAATTATATTGTCTGAGAGCAAACAGATCACACAGGGCTCTAATCTGTTCTGGCCTTAACATTCACAAAATATATGTAATACTACAGTTGTCCAGAAGACCTGGAAGTTAAGGAAGCGCGTACAGCCCTGTGTAGAATGTGGTACGTACTACGCTTCAGATGTAAAAATAATAGCTCTCATTCCATTTACAGGATAACTGAAATGGTTGAAATAGCTTTCAGTCAAACTGTTAGCCATAGTGAAATTGGACATAAAACTTGCGTCACTTTTGTTTTGGACTTGCTGGTGGGTGAGAAGGTAGCTGGATGAAAGGTCTAGTTTTCAATTAAGCCATATGTTCTCACAGTGTGTAGCTATAAACACATAATGTCATAACTCTGGGTTTTGTTTTGTCTGTCTTTCTGCAGAGACTATGAAAAGCTCCCTTCTTGTAAAAAGTCAGACCCGCTGTCTCCAATCAAAGATAATATTCAGCTCACTCCAGAAACAGAAGAAGAAATCTTCAATCACCTTGAACGCACTCAAGTTCAGAGAGCTATATTCCAATGAACTGTATGCTGTGCAATAGAATGCATTTTTATCACTGTCAAAATTTCTTTCGGACCTCATCAGTATAGAAAAGATACTTTGAAAATTAGCTGTACGTTTTAGTCTGATTACTGATTTCTCATCTCGTTTTATAAAAAGTGAGTTGAAAGGTACAGTTTAATACTGACTGAAATAAAACCTTCAGATCTCCATTTTCTTGTTGAATATTTAATACTGTTTTGTCCAAACCACTTTCAGCTGATCCTGAGTATTTTTTGTAGGTCATATAGACACGATGGAACTTCATAAAACAGCCATGGCTTTACTTTTGCAGTAAACAGCTGGATATGTTTATGTCTTAGTTTTTAAGACCATTTAAAAATTTTCTTGCTGCTTCTTCCCTGTTGAGCCTAGTTGGTCTCCAGGGCAGGAATAAAACTGCTCTTGAGTATTCAGTCATCACTATACTCTGATGCTGATTCTTTCACTATACGGTAAGATCTTTTCTCTCAATGGTTAGCTTTCTGTACTTAATGTATGATGCAGCCACATTACTGGTAGGAATAATTTGGGAATTGCAGAAAGGAATATTATAAGTACAGGGATGAATGTTTACGTCCACAGGCATAGAACTATTGGCTAGCATGAATTACTGTGTTGCTGTGTGTTAATAATGACAGAATGAAATTTTGAAGGGAAAACATAAACTAATTGGTTGTTCTCATCACTTATTTATTAGTGCGAGAAAAGTAAAGGATGCTTTGTACAGCTGCCCAGTGCCTTTCACTGGGAGCCATGGATTCCTGCATTAGTGGAACATCAAAGAGGCACTACCACTGTCAAGGGCAGGTACTTTTAATAGGAGTATAGGACTTCTGACACAAAAGCAACGTGTGTGAATGGAACGGAGGTTTTAATTCTGTTAACTGCAAACATAGCCTTACCTTATTTTGTGGCTTAACTATCGGAAATACCATCACTTGTTCTTCTCTAGCTTCTTCAAACAGAGAATCAGTGGAAATAAAGGAGGCATTACACATCCACATTTTGGCACAAGTATGTACTTAGTTTTATTTTTTTTCTTTTGTACCCTTCTCTGGAAAATATAAAAATATAATACCTTAGGAGACACCGGATGTGTAACAACTTGCTGGAGTGTTATTTCAATGGTAGGTACGGTGGGAATCATTTATGCAAGAGTACTTTTCTGTGTTTTATATTCTTAAAGTAGGCTTCTTAAGATTGTTTGTGTTTAACTTCTGTTTTAACTTGTTTGACTTAACTCTGTTTAACTTCTTAGGTTTTGACATGTTATGGGGGAGTTTTCTTCAGAAAGGAGCCGTGTAATATAGAGGTTTCTATTTAACACATGACGAAACAACATGTAAAGGTTTTAGTTAAGTGTGGAATTCTTAGGCTGAGTATTTTTTTCTTTTATGAAAGATGCACAATAACTTGTTTATATGCATATATTCTAATATCTGCAAAACTCTTCCCAACTTCAGACTGCCTATACACAAGGGAAAATTTCATAGCAATAAATAAATTCAGTTTCAGAATTGCAGAAATTGTTAAGTGACAATGGAACAAGAGAAGTGAGATAAAATGTATCCTAATGAAAAGATGAAAGCAAGCTTGGAGAGAGGGAGGAAGGGTTTGGTTTAAAAAGTAGGTGTTAAAAAGATCAAGGATATGTGGATTAAAAAGGAGAAAAAAAAAAAAAAAAAAAAGTTTTAAGTGAGAGCAGATAGCACCCCGGAGGTGTGTTTGTGCTGGTGGAATTTTATTAGTTTGCTTTAATTTGACATTTTTTTAACATATTTAATTCTCCATAAATAATATTCTCTTATCATCAGGACTTCAAAATATTCTTATGAAATGGCTGGCATCTCTGTATCCTGTGAAAAGAGTGAATCTGGTCTGTAAAAGCTAAATATACTGATGGTGGTCTACTCAAGGTTCACTTCTGGAAGTGCTGACTAGCCACTTCTGCGGCCAAAAGGAATCTAAACTGCAAACGTTCAGTGTGATGGGGAATACTTATAACAATGAGCATCCTAATCAAACATGTTTTTGATACTATAGGTAAGTGACTTCTCTATATCCAGCTGAGTCTGCTCTTCTAATTACAGCAGTTGATATTATCCGTACGCATTCTTTCTTTCATAATTGAACATAGTAGAATCATGTTTACTGGATGGAAGAATATGTGAAGACTTGGGCTTTGCAATCTTGATTTAAAACAAACAAACAAGGTTGTTGTAGTATTTAATAAAAGCAGTGTTATGGTATTTTCTGTTACATGTTGACAGTTACTGGTACTTTATGAAGTGTTCCTGTTCTCATGTCTGCTAAACTTGTAACAAAGTCATAGTGAAGCTAGAAGACATTTCTTCACTTTTACTAAGCATGGAACTACCAGTTCTTTTTTTCAATATAGAGCTCAACTGTAGGTATACAAATATGCTTGATTTCGTTACAGGGCTTGCAATTAAATTAATAAAATTATATCAACATAGGAGGGAAGAAGAGGAGCTAAATCCTTTTCTGAACAGTAGTGGTTACTTCATGTTGGTGACAGGCCTGAATCTGGCTGCAGTAACCTAAGCTTTAGTTCTGATGAAACAGAATTGTGTATACTTGTTTCTTTCCTGGGCTTTCTTATGTTATTACATAGCTCTGAGTTTGATAGTGAAATTGAAGTCATTGATAAGGGATATTTTGCTCTATTGTATTTGGATTGGCATGTTTAATTCTTCTGATCTCCCTTCAGCGTGCAAGTGGTCAAATATCAGAAATTTGGGATAGCTCTACTCAAAGAAAATAACTGAGCAAAGTCATCATGAAGTGTCTCAGCACCTAATATAGATTGTATGCAATTTGTTCAGTTGGAGATTTTAAATTCATTAATGAAATTATTACTACATAAGTGATAGCATTTTTTTCTTTATTGTAGAAACACTCCTACCATGCATCAAAGAATGAACCTGAGTAAATACATTTGTTGTGCTTTGATTTAGGAAGATTCTAGAAATCAAGAATGCACTAAGAAATTAATCTAGTTAACTGGCATTATTATACACAGAAATGCTGAGGAAGTTATTCTTAAATATGGGATAGAAATATCAGCTGAAAATGTTACTGAAATTTAGGACAAAAGGTAATGCTGGAGAAAATCCAAATTATAGCTGTCCTGTTCATTACTCTTACAATTTTTGATCCAATTAAGCAAAACATCTGTAACAGAAACATTCATGAGAGACAAACAGAAGTAGCTGTAAGTAGAATATTCAGTAAAATTTAGCAGATATGCTCTCAGTTGATAATTTTCACTTAAGACATTCAGTGAATGCATTTGAATGTGGAGATTTTGAGGTCAGTTAGCACCCAAGTTTGCATCACAAAAAAAAGGTTTTTAACAACTAGCAGATTTGTCTAACTTTTTTCTTAATCTGGAGTTCATTGCAATAACTGAGAATAACTGGAATGCCGTTGTTGTTGACAGAGATGAGTAAATGCAATCTTGATTAGTTCCATTCTCAACTTTTTGTTTGTTTTGGTTTGTTTGGTGGTTTGTGGTTTTTCTTGGTGGTTTGGTTTAAAATAAAAACAACATATATTTAAAAATGGAAAAGGCTGTTCTTCCAGTCTGCACTCACTCAGCAAAGAGAACTGGTTAATGGTCTGAAGAGGTAATCAAAACCAAGCGGGATGATTGTCCTGTAACTAATACATGAATGTTCAGAGACATTAAAAATAAAAAGAAAAAAATTTTAAAAAACCTAATATTTGTATTGGCTTAAATCACCTCCTTGGAGGTCAGTCACAGTGAGAAAACCCACCTTCTCACTAAACTATAAAAATGATATGATTTGGGAAGTTTCTGTGGTTGGTCTTATTTTTCTCTTTGTTTCCTGTGTCTGACATACAGACTTTGCTAGTGCAGTGTTCTGAAGCGATACCTCCCATAACTTGCCATCAGAAGATCTGTGCTCACATGAGGCTGATTTCTGTTCTGTTACCATTTTCTAACAGATATTTCAGATCTGAGAGAGAACTTGGTCCTGGTGAAATGACTGCAGATTCAGCTTTTAATACAGAGAGAGAGACATGTTTGTTTTAAACTGGAATGTAAGAGAGTAGAGGGCATTTTCAGTCTTCAGAGAAGCACCAGTCAGTGAGTATTCTGTGCTTATGGATATTTTGGATTGTAGTTAAGTATACTTATATCCATCAGAGTACATTGTAACTAAGAACACTGTCATGAATTTCATGATGTATCGGGTAAACCAGAGTATGGTTGGGGGCAGAAGTAGGGGAAGAAAAAAGGAGGAAAAAAAAAAAAATTACATCCTTTACCTTTTAGGGTCTATAAAAGCTGCCCACCACCAGGCAATATTGAGAGGTGCAATCTGACTTTTTCCACCTAGTCCACTGCACAGGGACCATGTTCAAGAAAGAGCTTTATTAAAGGTGTTTTATGTTAAAAATCCATAAGGTTGGAAAAAAGCAACATGAGTCTGACTACCACCTTTATTCTTTCTGATCAGACAATCTCATTACCAGCAACTCAATAGATAACTTTCTTCTGACTTTTTAAGTACTTCCTGTCAAGATACAGGAAGGAAGAGTAAGCCAGTGATAATTTCAGTAGACTAAACCACATGGTAGTTGCAATGATAGCACAGCACATAGGGGGTTCTCCTACTTGAATTTCTAAAGGGAAAAAAAAATAAACAAAACCAGTTGTCTGTGGATCTGAAGTTATTTTTTTCCCCTCTAAATGAATGGAGATAATCATAAAACTGTGTCAGGCCTTCACAACACTCCAACTTTCTTGTATTATCTACTATTTGTTACATAGAGTTCTTGGATTTTAATTTTCCAAACAATTCACTAAGTACTTTCTCACCACTTGTCACTTCTGGCTTAAAAAGTGAATAAGAAGCAAAAGAAATTGTTTTCATGAATGAATAAATTAAAGTGAGGACTAAGGCAGCTTTCTGCATTATTTCTGGTGAGGAAATACAGGTGGCAGATGAATAAAATAGTTTATCTATACTTGTATTAAAACTTTGGCTGCCATAACATATCTGTGTTACCCAAAGCTTTCATGTTTGTTAGACAGGGGTTTAACAAAAAGAATAGCTTTGTTTTTCTGAGTATGTTAAAGTTGTACAAATAATGGAGGCTTTTACCTACCTT